CCACCCGCACCACCGCACCACCGCACCACCGCACCACCGCACCACCGCACCACCGCACCACCGCACCACCGCACCACCGCACCACCGCACCACCGCACCACCGCACCACCGCACCACCGCACACAACAGAACACCGAAGACGCCAAGCTGCGCGCGTTTGTGGACGAGTTCGCCAAGTCCAAGCGCTCCCTGCAGGAGGACTACGGCAAGTCCAAGAAGGGTGCGCAGCCGCTTAAAGTGAAATCAGTTCACTCGTCTTTCCGCCGTCGGCGGGTTGCTCACGCGCGTCACATCGTGTGTCGTCGACACCAGGAATGAAGCTGCCGGGCGTGACTGCCGTGCACCCCGTCACCAAGGAATCACTCCCGGTCTACATTGCGGACTACGTGCTGATGGACTACGGAGAGGTAATCGGCCGTGATGTGTCGCGCGCGCGTATGTGTGTCTTACGCTTGGACGCGGGCGTGTGTGACAGGGAGCTGTGATGGCGGTGCCAGCGCACGACACACGGGACTACGAATTTGCCAAGCAGTTCGATCTGCCCATCAAGACCGTCATCACCCCCGACCAGCACACAGTTTCCCTCCGCTTCCCTCCACTTACCTTCTTCGTTCTTCGTTCGTCGTTCTTCGTTCTTCGTTCTTCGACTGATTGTAGATTGTCGATGGCGGGGTGCAGGAGGAGCACAAGGAGGGCGACCCGTTCTGCGGCGAGGGGCGGGTCGTGAACAGCGGCCCCGAGCTCGACAACCTCACGTCGGAGGAGGCCCGGCGCAAGCTGCTCCGCATTCTCGGCGAACAGGGCGTCGGCGGCGAATACACCAACTACCGACTCAGGGACTGGCTCATCTCACGCCAACGGTACACACACACACACCACACGGAAGGCACGACCGCACACGCACACGCACCACCGCACACGCGCACGCTCATAGTTTGATTGCTTCGTGGCAGGTACTGGGGCGCGCCGATACCGATGGTCTACTGCGAGGCCGACTGCGGGGTGGTGCCGGTGCCCGAGAAGGATCTGCCGGTGGTGCTGCCCGTAGATGGCCTCGAATTCTCGGGCCGGGGCGGATCGCCGCTGGGCTCGCTCGAGCACTGGCTCCACACCGACTGCCCCAAGTACTCCCCCTCCCCCGCGCCCAATATATATGGGCCAATAACTGACCGTGTGTGTCGTGTGTGTCGTGTGTGTCGTGTGTGTCGTGTGTGTCGTGTCGCGCGTTCGTGTGTTGTTTTGAATTCCAGGTGCGGAGGACGAGCCAAGCGGGAGACGGATACGATGGACACGTTCGTGGACTCGTCGTGGTATTTCCTGCGCTATCCCGACGCCAACAACACCGACGCGTACGTTCTTTCACCCCACACACACACACACACACACAGCGCACGCACATGAAGCTCAGAGGATTTGTGTGCAGACCGTTCGACAAGGCGGTGACGAACAAGTGGATGCCGATCGACGTCTACATTGGCGGGATCGAGCACGCCATCCTGCACCTCCTCTACTCGCGCTTCATCACCAAGTTCCTCCACGCCCAGGGCCACCTCAACTTCTCCGAGCCCTTCCCCAACCTGCTCACCCAGGGCATGGTCCAAGGCCGCACCTTCAAGGTAAGCCGTGCGTGTGTGCGGTCGTGCGTGTGTCGTGTCGTGTCATCGTGTAACGCCGCACACACACGATATAGGATCCGCACACGGGCGCCTTCCTCAAGCCCGACACGGTCGAGAAGGTGGGCGACAAGTTCATTCACAAGCCGACCAACCAGGAGGTGGCCATCTCGTGGGAGAAGATGTCCAAGTCCAAGTACAACGGCGTCGACCCCGACGTACGCCCCCTTCTTCCCCTGACATAACAATAAATATAACAATAACAATAAGAATAAGAATAATTATACAAATACAAATACAAACAAAATAAAAATAATTAATGCTAATAAAAAATAATTAATGAATCCTAGAGGATCGTGGACGAGTGGGGCGCCGATACAGCGCGACTCTTCGTTCTCTTCAAGGCTCCGCCGCATCTTGGTACGAGCATGTGCGTGTGCGGTCGTGCGTGTGCGTGTGCGGTGTGGTCGTATCCGTGTGCGTGTGCGGTTTGCTCATGCGCAGCTGTGGGCGACCTACAGAGCTCGAGTGGGAGAATGCGGGGATCACGGGCGCCTATCGCTGGATCGGGCGCCTTTGGAACCTCGTCAACACCTTCGTCCAACGCGACCCCTCCGCCGACACCCCATCACCCCCGCCCTCAGGTACCTCCTCTTATTCTCCGGTACCGGCACGCGGGCCATCGCACACGCACACGCACCGCCGCACACGCACACGCACACGCACCGCCGCACATTGCACCGCACACACTTTATATAACGCCATATTAATGGTTGATTGATTGCAGTGACTGAGCGGGCCAAGGAGGAGAAGGACCTGCTGGCGCTCACCCACGAGACCATCACCAGCGTGACCAAGGTAAGCCACTTTTTTTTATTAATTTTAACAAATATATTTTCGATCGAAGTGGGCTGATTGGGAGGGGGGGACGCCCAGGCATTGGACGCTGCGCCCTATTCGTTCAACACGGCGGTGGCCGACCTCATGAAGCTCTCCAACAAGATCACCACTCGTACCACACTCACACCCACACCGCACTACGCCACCGCATGACCGAGTTTGTGACACACACACGCACACGCACACAACGACCGACCTCTACAGTGCCGGCAGACTCGCCGCAGTACTACCTCTCACTGCGTTCGCTCGTGCTGCTGCTCCACCCCTTCGCTCCCCACGTCTCGTCGGAGGTACGCGCCCCTCCGCCGCAACTTCACCAGCGGCCGCCGCCGACAATTCCACTGTTGTGTGTGTGTCGTGTGTCGTGTGTCGTGTGTCGTGTGTCGTGTGTCGTGTGTCGTGTGCGCTGTGTTGTTGTGTTGTGTCGCCAGATGTGGCAGGCGCTGGTGGCCCACGGGCCAGCCCACGAGTCGGCGTGGGCGGGCAGCTCAGCCGCACCCGAGCTATCGCGCCAGCTGTGGCCCGTCGCCAACGAGGAGTTCATGAAGAAGGACGAGGTGCGCTTTACAAGTGGTCGTGTGCGGCTGTAGTGGTTGTGTGCGGCCGGTAATCTGGTGGGGTGTGCGGCCCCGGTGCGCAGGTGGTGGTGGCGGTGCAGGTGAAGGGCAAGACGAGGGGCACGTTCGTGATGCCGGCGGCCGAGGTCGGCGACAAGGCGGCCGTGGAGCGATATGCGCGCGAGTCCGCGGTGGGCAAGAAGGCCCTCTGGCAGCGCGACGTCAAAAAGGTAGTCATTCCGCCCAACGGCAAAATCGTCAACTTTGTCTGCTGAGTTCGTCAGACTTTCTGGAAACGAGCGAACACAGCTTGCCTGCTTCCTGCTTGCAGAAGAGGGAAAATGGAAGAAGTGGTCAGCACAGATGCCACTGGTCAGTTAGGACCCAACACCTCTTTCTTGTGTGGTGGCTCAGTCTTTCTTTCTTTCTTTCTTTTTGCCCAAGTGCAACAAGTGTTGAAGCGAGCACACCGGTTCGGCGTTGTCCTGCAGTCGGCGGCTCCTCTCGGCCCACACCACCCGCCCACTTCGCCTTCGTTCGCCAACTTTCTACAAGACGGCAGCTCAGCCCCACAGCCGCCCGGACCTGGAAGCTGGAGGAGGTTCGTTCTGTCGCTGGCGTCATCGACACATTCGTCGCCACCCTGGCAAGTGCTGGCCGCCTACTCGGAGTGCGTCTACACCCTGAAGACCACCCACAAGCGGCCGAACAGTTACGCGGCCAGATGCGATCCACCCACGACACAGGTCTCTTCCGCGGGAAGGGCTTTAAGCGACAGGTCCGGCTCCGCACGATCAGCACTGTAGCCAGGTGTTAACACCAAGGGGCTTTCTCTTCCTTTTCGAGACACCTGCTGCGGTTATTGGTGGCGCACGCACCACCGCGCACCGTGTGCGGTGCGGTGGCTGTGGAGATGCATCAGTTGATCCTCACTCCGTGCCGCCCGGCGTGATCCGCTTGTTACGATCCTTCCTTGGCCTCTTTGCGCTTCTGGGTGGTGTCGCCTCGGCCTCCCCTTCTTCCTCATTGTCGTCGTGGGCCTGGCCAGCACCGGTCTCGCTCGCCACCGGTGCCTCGTCGTCGGCGGAAGCAGACGACGATGAACGCTTCTCGCTCATGCGGAAGACCTCCTCGAAGCGTTGGCGGTCGACGTGGACGGAGATGAAGGTCGTGGAGGTGGTCGATGGCATGGCGCCCCACCCGCTGTGTCCGCGCTCCCTGCTCAGCTGCATCTCCACTGCACCGCACACGCGAGACATCAGCACCTGTAGCGCGCGTGTTGTGTGCGTGTGCGGTGCGTGCGGTGCGTGCGGTGCGTGCGGTACCCTGAGCAAAGAGGCCGATGGAGGGGTCAATGGCCACGCAGGCGGCGAGCGGGTCGTGCAGGGCCTTCTCGCCGCGGCCGCGTAGGTACTTGTCCATGGCGTCGTAGATGGCCGCCAGCCCCTTCGTGTCCCTGCGGTAGGGCGCCAGGCGCTCGTGGAAGTGGCGGTTGTACAGCACCCCGTGGCACACGTTCTTCGACACCAGCACGCGCTGCTTGACCCGCGGATTCGTCAGCAGCTCGGTGGCGGCCTTGGAGTCACCGCCAAAGTTGAAGGTGGGGCAGTAGATCTTGCCCTCGAACTTCTTGAGACGGTACTCTAAAGATTGGATCCAGTAACACTCCACTCAGCACAGTCACACGACACGACACACAACACGACACACAGCACGACACACACAGCACGTATACGCACAACACCGCACGCACACGCACGCGACACCAAATTACAAACACACAACAGTACCTGGTGGTACAATGTTGTCGCCGGCGAATCCGCCCTGGGCGACCCATCGCTCGATCACCAGGTCCGGATATCTGCGAGTCGCATTCGGCCGAAGTTGTCAGCACTCTCGTCATGACTCAAGCGCGTGCGTGCGTGCGCGTGTGCGTGTGCGAGTGTGCGCGTGTGCGTGTGTGCGGCATACTTTCGGATGGCGTTGCCCACGTTGGTAAGCGGGGCTCCGGTGATGATCGTGCACTTGGGGTACTGCTGGATGGTCTCGTAGATGATGTCCTGCCCCAGACCTGCACCACGACACGCGACACACGACGCACACGCACAGTCAGGGCTTGTGAATTCGGCAAAGTGTGGGCGGTGGCTGGTACCGTCAGGGTCGTCCTGGGGCAGTACGTCCATGCCCAGGGCCTTGTTGTGGAAGCCCGACACCGCGTTCTTGGCATGCGTTGGATCCTTCGAGCCTGGCTCACGCTTCATCATCAGTAACTACACCGCACACACCGCACACACCGCACACACCGCACACACCGCACACTGGTACCGATCTTGAGGTGCGGCAGGTCGAGGAGCCGAAGCGTGTGGCGCACGAGGCCGACCTGTGTCCGATTGCCCGGCGTGATCGTCACCGCACGCAGACGCACCAGCGGATGTCCGGCCAGCAAACACCTGCCCAATGTCTTTAGTATTTTTCATTGATAACTCATGAATTTATCAATTAAAAAAATAAAAATTTAAATCATAATAAAAAATAACAATAGGAAACGAAGAGGGTGGTGTACAGGGTGAGGTAGTCGTCGGGGTCGTTGGTCTCCATGTCGAAGATGGCGTCGAACGGCTCGCCGGTCATGCCCGGAAGCCGCACTAACGGCACCGGCCAGTCTGCCGCCGTCGCCGTCGCCGTCGCCGTCGCTTGTTCCATCTACTTTGCGGCGTGTGGGTGTGCGGTGTACAGGGCATGTTGCGTCTCTTCTCGGCGTGACTGTTACAGCCAACAGTGAGGGCCATTTTTATATTTTTAACTGAACAGAATAATACGAGAAATTGCATAGAAAGAGAAACTTGTTTTTTAAAAGTTGAGTTTATATGTGCAAAATTCAACACGCAACAAGGGGGCTGTGCTCTGCCCACCCCTTGGTGGGGTCGTGTGCAAAAGGTGGTGCGAAGTGAACCAGAGACCAAGCCTGGGCTGGTTTAGGGCTTGGACCTCTTGAGCGCGCCCAGGGTGACGAGCACGGCCGACATGTTCTTGGCTGTGACCATCACACACAACCATCAGTCACCGCACACACACGACCGCACACACGACCGCACACACACGACCCGACACGCACGGCATTATCGTGAGTACCTTCGAAGAGATCGACGGTCTGGAAGAGCTCGTTCTTGCGGACGCCCAGGTGCTCGGCGGCCTTGAGGAAGTTGGCGATGTTCTCCATCTGCACGAAGGGCGCCGCGGCCTTCTGAATCCTCGCCACCGAGCCGGCGTGGAGCGCGTTGGCCAGCCTACATTCATCATCACCACCACCGGGTCAGTACTGAGTGGTGCCTATTTGTTACAAAAATAATAATAATAATAACGTACTCGCAGAGCTTGATGCCGTTCTTGAGCGCAGCGTGGAAGTCACCCTCGACGGGCACGCCCTTGCTGGCCATCCACTCCCTGTGCAGCATCCAATGAAATAAATGATAATAAAAACGTTAAGGTGGCGGTCGGTTGCCTCACAACAATTCGCTAGGCCAAAAGTGTGGGGGGTGGAGAGGGGGGGTACCTGATGCTCTGCTCCTGAGCCACGTCGTACTTGGAGTCCATCTTGTCCTTCAGCTCGGCGTCGAGGCCATACGAGGGGCCGTGGAAAGCGCCACTACACAAAGAAGAACGGCAAGAGAGTTAGGTATCGAGGACTATGTGTGTGTTGGCCTTTCGCGTACGTCTGCTGGGCGGCGGCGGAGTCACCAACGGGAACGCGAGAGGCCATTGTTGAGAGATGTGTGAAGATGACTGTGGAGGGATAACGAAAAGAAGAGAGAAGGCGCTGGACTTGACAAAAAGGAAGAAGAGCTGCTGGTGGACCCAATGAGGTGTCGCCCCTGTGCGTTGCCTCAGGCCCACAAAGAAAGACCACACCTTTGGCACTCGAGATTCTCCCCGAGAATGTCCGGAGTTGTCACCATTTAGAGTGGTCCCCACGACCTTTCAACCAACAGTTACCGTTTAAAATATATTTATATATTTATATGTTTCAAGATCTAAATGTCACGCAAAATATGGTTAGTAGTTCTTTGTTTGTACAGTCCTCTTGTGCCAGGCCGGCTCTCTCGGGCGCTTCAGCCTCGGTAGGTGTTGCCGCTCTCGGGTGCGTACATGTCGTTGAGGGTGTCCCTCCGTGACCCGGGCGACAGCACGCCGTCGAACACCGGGCTTCTGCGGTCATTGGGAAGCCCCGGGCTGGGCTTGCTCGGCCAGTAGGTCCAGCTTGGCCGCGCGGTGAGGAAGTCGGGCAGCTCGCCGCCGCGCTTCTTCCACACGACGACAGCCACGATGACGGCCACGAGCAGCCCGATGACAATGAGCGGAACCAGCACCCCGGCGGCGATTGCGCCGCCGTCTGCCCCGCCGCCACTGCTGCCCTGGGCGTCATTGCTTCCCGAGTCGGTGCCGCCGCCGCTGCCGGCGGTGACGAAGGCCGCCTCGGTGGCGTAGAGTTGGGCGACGTTGAGGGAGGGGTCCCTGCTGTTCACCAGGGAGACGAGCGACTCGGCCGCACCTCGGCCGGATGACGTGCGGAACGGGACGATGTATATGACCACCTTCTTGCGCCCTGCTCGACCACATACGACACATACAACACGGCACCCACGATACACGACACACACGACACACACACGACACGACACACGACACACACGACACACACGACACACACGACACACACGACACACACGACACACACGACACACACGACACACACGACACACACGACACACACGACACACACGACACACACAGTAGTTGATGAGAAAAAAACGTTCAATGCGGCTGGGACTGGCTTCCAATATGAGAGAGGAGTACCTCCTGACAGATCTACAGTGCTCTCCACGTAGACCCGGTTGGGGTCGTCCAGCTGCGCTGCGGTGCTGACGGCGGCCTGGAGTTCAGACTTCACGTAGGCCTTGCGCGTGGTGTTGATCGTGATGGCCAGCCTGAACGGAGTGTCGCTAAAGTACGGGTAGTTCGGGCATCGCGTCACTGGCACCGTCGAAGCTCACAATATGAGCAAACGCACACAGAGAAGTGCGTGTGCGAGGGCAGCGTACGAGGGAATGGGCGAGTGGTGAAGGAAAAGCCGGACAGGAGGACCATGTTGCAGACGATGGTTGCTGTGGCGCGAGAGCAGCCTGAGTTGAGGTTCCCGCAACCGATCCGCGTGACTTTCTCCGACATCAGCAGCAAGTAGTGACCGCACACGCCTGTGCAACACACCAAACACAATGTGGGGATTAAGAGGAACTCAGTCTCACACACGACACGACACACATGACACACGTGTGAGAACGCAGTAGGGTGGGTGAGCCCGAACCTGAGCAGTTGGCGTGCTGGCAGTTCCACAGGTTCACCTCGTCGTACCACTGGTCGGCCGCCATGAGCGCCGAGGCCGTTGGATCAGAAAGATAATTCCAGGCGATCACTTCGCCGTACGGCACGCTGTTGTGGCCCGCAGGGCAAGTGTCCGCCCAGGCTGCGGCGCATTGTGATTTTATTGAAATGAAAAACAAATTGATAAGAAGAAGATAGAGAGGCCTACCTTGCGCCACGCCCTCAGCGGTGTTGTCCCACGTGACGGGGGCTACACTGAAGGCGGCACGAAGCTCGTTGAACCGATTCAAGATGGCGGTCTGGGAGGCGTCCGTCGTCATGCCCTCCCCAACGCCTGCGTGCAGCCACAGGAGCACAACGGGAACGACAACACCCCAGACGCAGACCCCGGGCAGACCGTGCATCTCTCTTCCGCTCCTCTTCGCCGCACCTTCTCACCTTCCGCCCCATGGAGGAGGCGTCAAGCCCTAAAAAGGACTGGCGCTGAGAAATCAATAAAAAACAATGAACAATAAACAATAAAAAAATGACTAGAAGATGAAGAGGAGGTTGTGTGCACGAGGTGGTGTAACGTATGTACAGTATTTCATCGTTCCAGGGGGCAGCAAAAACAGAAACAGACATTTGGACTCCTACGCGCCGAGAAGCTTCTTCATCTCCGCTTCGAGAGCTGCGTCCTCGCTTGCGGACTGGGCCAGTGACCCGGTCGCTGGGTTCTTGGTCGACAACTGCAACCACGACCAACCCCCGCCATCAGTGCGTCTGCGTGTCGCGCCCGCGCGCGTGTGTGTTGTGTGATGTGTGTGTGTCGTACCGAAGTGTTGAGGTCGAGTCCGATCTCATCGAGCACTTGGTCCAGCACCTGGTCGGACTCCTCATCTTCGAATTCATCCTCGAGCATGTCATCCATCATCCTACACAGCACGCAACACAACACCACAATGATACTTAGAACGATGAGAGCAAGGCCAACGGCAGCGACGTTGGTTCATACTCTTCCGTCATGGAGGCGAGCTGTTGCTGCTTCTCGAACTGCTGGAGCGTGGCCTGCATCTTCTGCATGTCCATCTGCTTGTTGGAGACGGCCATCGCCTTGGCCGCGCCGCCCATGGCCTTCTGGACTGTCATGTTGGCCTTCATTGACGTCTGCTGCACCGATACAGACGTCAACCGCCCTGCGCCGACATTGCATCGCACCAGGCCACGTGCGTAAGCAGCCAATCGATGGATGATCTGCATCTTTTGTAAAATGAAAATTGTAGGAGAAGGTGCACCTTTGGACGTGAGGAGCTTCTCCTTCTGCTTGCGCACATTGAGAAGTTGCTTTGTCATGATCTTGGCAGAGGCGTTGTCGCCTTTCTTGGCCAGCGCCTTGATTTCGATAATCAATTGCTTCTCCTGCCTCTCCATCTCGCGCACATCTCGCTCAATGTCGCGTTGCCCCCTGCGAATGTCCCGCTTGCTCTCTCGCATGGCCTCCTCCGGCGTCTGCCTCTTGAAAATGTTCATCTTCTTCCTCTTCTTCCTTCAGGTTCAGCTCTTTTTTTTGTTTACCATTTTTTTATCTTTTTTATTGTTTCATGGAATGCTGTTGGCCAGTGCGCCACAGTAACTGAACTTGCAGTCTCCGCAACACCCACCAGATGGACCAACTCCACACAGAAGCACGAGAGGAGGAGAAAGCGGAGTACGAGTTCGCCATCGTCCCATTCCCCTTCTTCCAGCAGGGTGAACCCCTCTCTGAACCTGAGAGGCGCGAAGTACGCCTGCGCCCCCCCCCAACACGGAGCAGCAGGACGCCCCCTGGTGTCTTGGGTGGTGGGTGTGGGTGGGTGGGCGGGGCCAGCTGCTGTTGGCGGCCTCGGCCAGGCATGACGCGATTCAGCTGGCGAGCGCCGCACGTGTGCCGAAGCCACTGACGGGGCTGGAGAAGGGGGCAAGGGCCAAGTGGCACAAGGAGCTCAACCTGGACCCGCCACAGCCAAAGCCACACCCGTGGCTGGACCCCGACCTCCCCCTTTCCGACGCCGAAAGGCGCCAGGTACTCGTGTCACGCGACACACGCGACACACGCAGCACACATGAATGACATTCTTGGCGGCGTGGTGGGCAGTTCGCGAACGATGTGGAGGAGCTCAACTTGTCGTATTTCGGGGGTGACCGACTGCCCAGTGGCGTGTGGAAGCTGCGTAACCTTCGCAAGCTCACCTGCTATCGCTCCGCCGTACTACGCTTTCCTTTACACCACTGAACGACCGCACACAACCGCACACGACCGCACACGCGGCTGACAGCTGCTTTTTGCGACAGATCACACATGTATCACCACAGATTGGGAATCTGCGAAAGTTGAACGAGTTCGTGCCCTACACGAGCTACAACTTGCACTGGCTGCCCTACGAGGTCCACGACACCAGCCTCCCCAAGGCACACATCTCGCGTCGTGCGATGTACGGCTACTCCAACAGTCTACCACTCCCAAGGCTGGCTCCCTTCCCCACAGGTGCGTGCCATGTGTGTGTGTCATGCCGTGGGTCGTGCGGTGGCTTGCATGCAGCGCGGCTAACGGTGGTGCACCAGGTGCGAAGTCGCTCCAGGAGATGGCCGCACGCGTGGTGGTGTCCAACTGTCTGGACGAAAGCAAGCTCACCGCCGTCGTGGTCGACTACATCAACTCGGCCAACCGCTGCTCCTATTGTCACGAGTACGTCATACACGTTCGCTGCCCTCCCCCCCAACGCGCTGCTCGCTCACTGGAGGCTTGGTTGTGCGTGTGCAGGCCATACTGGGAGACGAGCTATCAGTGCTGGTCGATCTGGTCGTGCGACCGGGTGCCGCTGCTCGCTCTCGTGTGCTCGCGTCAGTGCGTGGCCCGCCTGGCCAATCGTGTTGTACCCGAAGCTGCAACGTAAAACGAGACAAAGGTTCAGGGTCTTCTTTTGTCTGGTCGGTCTGATTGTGCGACCGGGTGCCGTTCTCGTGTGCTCACGTAGGTGCGCAGTTACTCTCGGCTGACGGCGGGCACCCACCGGCGGTAGACGGCTTGGTGAACGGGCCAGCCGGCGCTCGTCGCCCAGCCCTGGGAGGAGCCCTCGCCCGCTGGCTCCACACTGCACAGCAGCAGCCCCTGAGGCGACACAACATTTTGCAAAATCAATGCCCGTGTGCGGCAGTGCGCGTGTGCGTGTGCGGTGGAGTATGTGTACCTTGGCGACCTGTTCGGAGAGGCGGTTGAGGGTGGCGAGGTTGCGCCAGGAGAGCTGCCGGCCGCCAGCGCTCCATTGGCCGCACACCACGCCCTCGCCCGAGGCCTGCACCACCACGCTCCACTCGGCGTGGTAGTGGGCGGGTCCTCTTCGGTAGAGCACGAAGTCCGTGCCGTACTTGATGCCTGATTTTACCACCTGTGGGTGCAACAGAACTTTAGGTCAACGACACTATCGCGACACACACACACACACGACACACACACACACACACACACACAACAGCTAAGGTATGGACCCAGTTGTGTTGCCGATAGTGTCGGTAGGCGGCGTAGGTGTAGGCAAAGCCGCCCTGTGCAGCACAAAACGCCGACCAACACTCGTCCACGCCCATGAATCGCCACGCCTGTTCACGCAGCGCAGCACGTGTCAACAGGCGAGCTTGCCAAGTGCACACGACCACCACCAGCAGCGATTGTTGGTTTGGCACCTGTGCGCTTGGCTGCGGTGGTTGGGCTCGATCGATGCGTATCACCTTGAGACAACGCAACTCGGCGATCAAGTAGAACGTCTCCTCCAGCCCCAACTGCAGGAACTCGCCATTCTCTAGTGGAGACGACGTCTCCGCCATCGTCATCACCGCTCCTTCTTCCTCCGTCGCCGTCGCCGCCGCCGCTTGCGCGTCGCTGGCCTCGGCCGACCGGCCCAGAAAGCCTGCCCCGCGCAGCATACGAGCGACGGCGGCGGGTTCGTCTAGCAAGGCGTCAGAATCGGCCGATGCCACGTCATGACGCGTTCGGGCCAGCTTGAGCAGCTCTCGTTCGTCCTCGTCCATCTGCAGGTAGGGGCATGTGGTCGATAGGTCCCACCAGCCTCGATGCTGGCCCCGCGACCGGTCTTCCGCGGCGTCAGGCCATTGTAGGGCACCACGGTCACCTGGTGGCGCTGGCACACGACCAACTGCCAGCTCATCGGGTGGGACCGTTTCGGTCGCCTCGAATCGCTGTCTTCTGAACGACAGACACGACACACACGAAGCGTGAACACAACATGACCTTTAGTAGAGGGGCAAGCGCCATGCAAGGGGAAGCGGTAGCGCACTTGTGAGGCCGAGCAGCGGGCTGATCGCGCTTTCGGTGGAAACCAGCACGCTCGCGCTTGGCCCGATTGTCCTCGCCCTCCGCCTGCACCGGTTCTGCTCGCTGCCCGCCTCCTTGTACGTTTGTCAGCCACTGTGGTGCGTGGCCCGCGACATGAAATCGTGTGCTGGTGGATGGAGAGCGTACGGTGACGAGCTGCCGCGGTTGGTGGTCGGCTCCGCCCGAACGTGGGCTGGCTGCGGGAGAGCGTCCCCTTGCCGTAGCTTCCACTCCTGTGCAGCTCTTCGCCCGCCTCCGCCGCCCAGCCCCACATTCCTCCCTCCTCTTCTTCTTCGACCTCTACTCGCGCGCCTCCATTCTCATTCTCATCTTCCGCCGTGTGCGATGATTGCGCTACAGCGATTTCGAGATTGGGAGTCTCTTGGGTGGCACCCACGACAGCGGCGGCGTAGTCGATGAAAAGGGCATAGTAGAGGCGGAAGCGGCAGTGGGGCGGGCAACCTGGCTTCGGCAACGGCTCATCGGGCGCTGCCGAGCGCGTCTTCTGCCTCTTCTTCCCGTTCTTTCCCCTCCCTGCAGATGCTGCCGGCGTAGCGGCTTTCATCTCCATCAGCAGCGCCTTGAATGCAAGCGCGTGGGCTTTGTTATAATTGTGATTTATTGTATTTATGTTGATTTTATCTTCCATTTTCCCAATAAGGTAAATTCGAGGAAAGGGCTGTTGTTATTTCTCTCGATTTTTGAAATCTTTTATCACAGCAATTCACAGATGGCTTCTTCATCATCGTCTGCTGCACCTGCGGTATTGAAGCTGCACCAGTACGGCGCACGATGGGAGCTTCCGTCGTTCGATCCCTTCTGCCTCTCCGCTCAGGTAACCCCCCAAATTGCATTCATCGCGAAAACCGCAGATTAAATCTGACACTCGATTTTGCGTGGCCGCAGGCGTACATGCGGTTGGCCGGCGTCACGTTCGAGGAGGTGCCTTCTAACAATCCCGACGTGTCTCCCACCTGTGCGTCTCTCCGCTTTGTTGCTGTGTCGTGCACCGCGTGTTGGCGTTGCGCCATGTGTGGTGCCGCACTCGCTCGCGACTGTCACGGTCATCACTGATAGTCGTGGTGCTCGTCGTTCGCAGCGAACCTCCCTTTGGTACAGCTCGGCGATGACTACGTCGCCGGCACGAACGCCATCTTCACCTATGTGGGCAACAAGGTGCGACACCGCGTCAAAACGACTACGCACTTACCTATCACAAAACACTCAGCGTGTGAGCTCACTGCGTTTTTCGATGTTTTTGGGCAGACTGGCAAGTCGCTCGACAGCGCGCTGAACGCCGAGCAGAAGGCCACGGCCGCAGCTTTCATCCACCTCATCGAGACCAAGCTCCACCCGACACTGGTGCGCTCTATGCCCTCCTTTCTATCACCGCGCGTGGAACTCAACATGACTCGTGGTCGCAATGCGTCACCCTGTGCGTGCAGCTGTACAACTGGTGGGCCGAGAAGCAGAACATGGGCCAGACGTTGGTCCTCCCCCACTTCAACTCCATGGTGTTTCCCTTGGGGTACGACGAACGAGTACCTCTTGTGCTCAACGTGTCGCTAAGGCAATGACCGCACACGCACACGCACGACACACATGACACGCGCACGCACGCACGGACACACGACAGATATGTGCTGCCTCGGCTGAAGCAACGCAATGTTCAGTCGTACCTCTACACGCTTAATCTTACCCAAGACGAAAAGGTGTGTGGTTCTTAAGCACACGTGCGCTGCGTTTGGTGTTTGCACACGTCTCTCGAGGCCAGAGCCTCTGGCAATGACCTCACCCGCACGCCTATTGTGATCAGGTTTACAACGACGCCGAAGAGTGCTACGCGGCTCTCGCCGATTTCCTTGGAGACAAGCACTTCTTCTTTGGCGACAGGTACCACCATGGTCACCCGTGTGGCGATGACCTCTCATCCTATTTCTTGTTTATTAACGTTTTGTGATCATTAGCCTGAGCAGCCTCGACGCTGTGGCGTTCGGTCACTTGGCCATCCACCTGGTCGCACCTCAGTCACACAAGCTGCGATCGCGGCTGCTCCAGCACAAGAACCTCGAGGTAAGATCAACACTGTATCACCAACCTTCGTCCAGTCGTGCCGCCTATTCATAATCAAGTGTTTCTTCTTTTTGATGATGCCCAGGCCTTCTGCAAGCGAGTGATGACGCTCTACTTCGGCCAGGACTTCCCCGCCATCCCCGCACCACCACCCGCCACCGAAGACAAGGTTGGCATTTTCGCTTCTTGCCGATGCTGATGATAGCTGGTGTTTACCATTTTGTCTTGACGTCCAGGACCAGAAGCAGGAGATGAGCCAGCACAAGAAGACCGGGATGTACCTGCTCACTGGGGCCGGTCTCCTCATCCTCCTCCACTACCTCACCAAGCAGCACCAGGCCGCGCATCAGTAGGAGCTCGAGCTGTCGGCCACAACAAAGTCTTCAAGGCTTGTTGCACGGCCCAAAGGCTGGTCGCCTGGAACAGCAACCTGGCAGACAGAGCGCGGGCACAACATCGAAATTTCATTGGGTTTTCGCGCGATTTCTGTGTTTAGCCAATCAAAGGTTAGGGTGAGCAGAGGAAATGGGTTTCTTTCCATTTTCTCTGTTAATGGTCGGGTCTGTTTTCGTGCGTCTGGGTAACAAAGTTGGGGCGACAGCACGTGACCGCGGGAAGAGGCGAGTTGGTTCGTCCTGGTGGCAAACAAACGCACGCGTGAAGGGAGACGCCTCGCGTTCCCAGACCACCACCGGCTGCGCGCACTCGAGTAGCTGTTGTGGTGTCACAACTCTTCTGCCCTTCTCGTTCCCTCCCCTTCTCTGTGGCGCCACAGACCACCAGCTCTGCCCCCTCTCTGGGCTGCCTGGCGCGGTACAACTGAGCGCGGCTCTGGCCTCAGACGCGCATTCCCTCTTCTGCTCTCCTCGATACCCGCAGAGGCTCAAGCCGCTGAGCCTCGGTCAACCCTTGTGTGCAAAGAAAAACAAACACACGCAGAAAGCGAACCGGCTCACTACCCTCACATCAACCAGCAAGCCAACAGCCATTATCATATTTATTTTAGGTTCTCAGGTGGTTGTGCCTAAACCGGAACGAGGAGGCCTCAACCAACGTCCTTCAACATCATCTTCTTTCTTTTTCTTTCTTCTTCTACCGCGAACGAACGAGCAGCTGTCCCCCCTCTCCACCATCTCCAATGGAGCTGCAGCCGCAGCAGCCTCAGCCGCCACCACAACCCACCCAGCCGCCACAGCCCTCCACCCAGCCGCCTCAACCTCGCCACCACAACCAGTACAATCGATACACGCCACCAGCCCACATGCGCGACTGCGTTGTGGGCGACGAGTTCGGTTGTGACGCGGACGACTATGACCAACAGCCCCACGACCACGACCACCATCTTCATCCTCACCACCGCGACGACTTTGGGCACCACCATTATCCTCCTCAGCCCCACTACTACCCTGGCAACAACAACAACGGTCGCGGCGACTTGTACAACTTGCCCGGGGCGGCCATGTTGGGCAACCTTGGCATGGCCGCGCCCATGACTACGCCGTCAGTGCCTCCACCCATCCAGCTGCTGCCCTCGCCGCCCCTCTTCTTTCGTCGCTCATCCTCGTCGCCCTCCCTCTCGTCGCCCCCTTCTTCTACTTCTTTCGCCACCAACCCCTCCTCTGCGCCTTTCCCGCCATCTTCTTCATCTTCGTTTTCGAGCCTGCCTCCACCTTCCTTCGATCTGCACGCCACCTATCCCTCCCACTACTACCAGCACCACCATCCTTCTCAACATCCTCATCCCCATTCTCAACATCCTCAGCCTCATCCTCATCATAATCATCATCTTCCGACCCAGCACTACGCGCCGCCCACGCCGCTCGACCAGCCCTATGCCTCTCCCTTCCTCGGCAACCCCATGCCGTCACCGTCGCCCTCGCCCGCCAACGCCTACGCGTGGCTGCCCTCGTCCTCCTCGCTGCCCTCCTTCCCGATCCCCTCGTCCCCGCTCGCCGTCGGCCAGGCAGCTGCTCACCCCGGCACCCGACGAGCCTCCGCCCCGCTGCCCTCCTCGTCGTCGTCGGCGGCGTCGGCGTCGTCTCCCTTCGGCGCGGCCGCCGGGGCCGTCGCCAGCCCGCTGCAGCCCCCGCCATCGCCGTCTCACTCGCCGTCGCCGTCGCCTGCGCAGTCGCCCGCCACAGCGACCCAGCCCTACTACCAGCACTACTACCAGGGCGGCGGCGGCAATAGCGGCGACCACCACCAGCGCGCGCCGTCGCCCACGGCTGGCGGCGGTCATGGGCAGCAGCACCGCCAGCCGATCCCCACGGCCTACGGCGCCGCCAGCATGGGCGGAATGATGGGCGGCGGCGGCCTGCGTGGCGGGTGTCCTCCACCACCGGCGACATATGGCTATCCGCCGACGCCGCCCGTCGTGGGCCTGACCTCGCCTCTACAGTCGCCCGTCGCCGCGCCCGTCGCTACGCCGCCGCCAGCGTCGGCCACGTCGGGGTCGGGGTCGATGTCATCGCCTCAGTCGCACTCGTCACCCAAGCTCGCGCCGAAGCAGCCCAGCACGGCGACAGCGACGGCTGCGACAACGACAACGGCGGAACAGGCGAACTCGCCGGCGTCGGTGGCGCGCTCGTCCCGATCGTTCCTCTCCGCCGCCCTCGCGCGACGCGTGAAGCGGGAGAAGAAGTGTGACACCCCGCCGCAGTCGCCATCGTCCGTGTTGGCGGCATCGGCTTCGGTGTCGACCTCAACTTCGACATCGTCGCCATCGTCATCGTCGTCGTCATCAACCTCTTCGTCGTCTTCTTCGTCGGCGTCAGCAGCCGCAGACGATCGAGCGCAACACCAGGGATCGATGGCGGCCATGCCCAGCGCAGGCGCCGCGCGGATCAAGCAGGAGCACCAGCACCAGCAGCAGGAGGACCACCACGACGGTAACGGCTGCATGGAGGGCGGCGGCGGCGAGGAGGACGGCGACCCGGACCCCAGCGACCCGGTACCGCCCACCGCTAACACCACCAGCTCCCCCTAAGCACCCCAACCAGCTCCCTGGCAGCGCGGGCTTCCGGCAGCTTTCCCCTTTTGCGGACGTGTTGCAGGGCACGCAAATTTTTTTTAAATGATGATGAGCAACGCGACACGTGCAGAGTGGCTCACCTCTCTCTCTCTTGCTTCTTGTTGGTGTCTTGTGGTGGAAAACGTGTTGCAGCATGGCACGAAGCGCAAGTACACGTTTAAGTACCACATGTCCCTCTCGCCCGACATGCAGAGCTACGTCACCGGCGCCGAGCCCCAGAAGGTACATACACACGCACACGCACACGCACACACACCGCACGCGCGCACCACCGCACACGCACACGCACGAGAGCAAACGCGTACTGGGTGTGGTCGACTGACCTACGAAATTCGAAATTGCGCCCAGAAGAGGACGCGCTCGCGAGCGGCTGGCCGAACGTGCCAGAGCTGCGGGACGGCGACCACTCCCGAATGGCGCATGGGTCCCAACGGCAAAGGCACCCTCTGCAATGCGTACGTCTTCCCTCCGATTCGCCCAAGAACGCACTGGCCCTGACTACGTGTCGTTGGTCGTGTCGTGTGTTGTGCCGTATCGTGTCGTGTGTGCTGTGTATCAGATGCGGACTGCGGTATCGGAAGAACAAGCCCGCGGTGCTGTCGAACATCGCGCAACGCAACGCGACGTTGGCCTCCGGAGGCTCCTCGTCGTCGCCGTCGACGACATCGGCCTCTCCGCCCGCGCCGACGTCGACCTCGTCCTCGTCGTCCTCCTCTTCTCCATCTTCCGCTTCGTCGGGCTTCGCCGGCAACGCGCCAATCAAGCCGGCCATGTCGTACGGGTCTTCGTCCTCCTTCGCGCCCTTCGTGCCTCCGGGCTGCCCGCCCATCCTGCCCGCACCGTCACCATCGTCGTCGTCGTCGTCAAGCGGTGGCGGCCCGATGGGCGCCTCGGCTTACGCCACGCCGCCGCACCACCACCACCACCAACAGCAGCAGCCGACGCCGCGCAAGAGCCTCACGATTGCGCCCATCTATCCGTCGGCCTACCGCCCACACGGCCCGGCGATGCCCAACCACGGCCACGGCCACCAGCCGGGCGCAACGTACCTGGCCTCGCCCCTCGGCCCGGGCGGCATGCCTCCGCAGCCGCTTCAGCCGCCTCTGCCCCAGCCGCTCCCGCCGCCACACCACCAGCAGCACCCGCACCCACACCACCAGCAGCAACACCACCAGCAGCAGCAGCAACACGTCATCAAGGAGGACCACAAGGCCAGGCCGTGACCGCCAGCCAGATAGTTCGAGGTGTACGTGTGCACCCCACAGTGAGTGTACGAGAGAGCAAGTTGGTTAGTGGGCACCAAGAGTTCGGTTCTTCTTCGCCATCTTTGCCACTTATTTGTTTGTTATTATTTGTTATTTCTTTCATTTTAATGTACATTTTAAGCAGAATAATTACGCTGTCGACAGCTTCGTTATTTTTACCAGACCACTGCACGGGCCTCACTTCTTCTCCGCGCACGAGAGACAGAGAGAAGGATACCACGATCGGCATCGACCTTCCCCTTCCCTCGTCCAGCCCCACATCTCTGCACTCACTCCTCCGCTGAGCCCTAAAGGTTTTGTTTTTACAAATTTCTACGCGAAATCATCAAACGATGGGAGATTCTTTCGATTGCGTGACGGATGACGACGGCCACCCCTACTTCGAGGGACCCGAGAAGCTCCTGGAGGTGTGGTTCAAGCCGGCGGCTTCGCTCGATGGCTCCTCGTCGTCGGTGACCACGAGGGGACCCGATGCCACCAAGCCGGACAGCCGATGGGGCCTCCGCACGGTCGATAGGAAGGTGTGGGAGGAGATGCTTGACCTCGTCCACTGCCAGATCCTCAACAGCGTGTCCAACGACTACCTCGATTCCTTCGTCCTCAGGTCCGAACAACCCCCATCTTAATTCATCTTAATTTTTACGCGATTTTTGTAGCACGTGCGATTAGGCCAAATGTGAACCAGATGTTCCATTCTTGTTTTCTCTTCATCTTGTGATCTTGAGATTTGGAGGTGGCTGCTCACCACTGCTTCATAATCTATGGCACCCACAGCGAGAGCAGCATGTTCGTGTGGAACACCAAGCTCATTCTCAAGACCTGCGGCACGACCACCCTGCTGCTCGCTCTGGACCGGCTGATCGAAATCGCCAAGGTTCACAATCACATCACTCTCCACCTTATCAAATCAATCGATCGCATCTTTCCCCCCATTTATGTCCGCAGCGCAGCTGATTACAATAATCATCCATCTTTGCTCAACGTGGGTGGTCTGATGAACGTTCGTCATCTGTGGTGCACCACAGAGTGTTGGCCTGCCCGAGATCGAGAACCTGTTCTTCTCGCGACGAAACTTCTCCCAGCCGGAGCGTCAGCTCGGCCCGCACAAGAACTTTGCCGACGAGGTCAAGGTCCTCGACCAGCACTGCGACGGTTCGTGTGTGGCACACATGACCACCACCTTGCACCCCCTGACCGTAAAGCTGTACAACCAAGTGATCGTCTTCTTCTTCTCTTTTCCACTACAGATGGCTCCGCCTACGTGCTGGGCAAGCTCAACGGCGAGCACTGGTATCTGTACATGACCGAAAAGCCCGAGAAGAAGTACGGACGTTTGTTACCATTGGCTCTTGGCTGTGGTTGTGGTCGCATATGATTGGTTTTTGGGCTGACCAATCATCTTTCATTATTTTATAAAAACAGGGAGGGCCTCGCTCCCGATGCCACGCTGGAGATCCTCATGAGCGACCTCGATCAGGAGGCCATGAAGCCCTTCTACAAGCAGCACTCGACCGACTCCCGAGCCGCTTCCGTCGTACGCACACACACGACACACACGACACACACGACACACACGACACACCACGACACACCACGACACACCACGACACACACGACACACCACGACACACGGGGCACTCACGCCTCGGTCGGTGCGTGCGTGCGTGCATGTGTGCAGAACTCGGGCATCGCCAACCTGTTCCCGGAGGCGCAGCTGGACGACTTCCTGTTCGATCCGCTGGGCTACAGCGTGAACGGCATCCTCGACGGCGGCTACTTCACGATCCACGTCACCCCGCAGTCGTCGTGCTCCTACGCCTCGTTCGAGACCAACATCCTCCTCCCCTCCTACACCGAGCTCATCGAGAAGGTGGTCAACGTGTTCAAGCCCGGCCGCGCCACCATCTCTGTCTTCTCCAACGACCCCGTCACCTCCATCCACTCTCGGTAGGCACCGCACACGCACACACGCACACACCTCACCGCACGCACCGCACACACGCGCAGCACTGGTCAGTATCATTTGAATTGATGTGGTGGTGTCACTTAGCCCGACGTCGCTTCTCTCCTCGTGTGCGCTGCCACGACCACCAACGCACAACAACAACCTCAACAGCATGGAGGGCTGGGACCTGGAGGGCTACGAGAAGCAGGAGAAGACGTTCTACCAGTTCGAGGTCTACAACCTCTCCTTCATGAGCCAGGTCAAGTCCGACCGAAAAGCCGCCCAGAAGCAGCTCAGTACGCAGACTTGCGCTTTACTTTCGTGTGGCGTGCGCGTGTGTCGTGTCGTGTCGTGTCGTGTCTGACACGTTGTTTGTGCGAACTTCACAGCGAGCAAGCCGACCGAGTTGTAAAGAGCAGCAAGCAGAAGCGTGAGGAGGAGGAGGAGGAATGTGATCGAGTTAGCTTCGGCTTTTGGGAGGAGGAACGGGCAGCGGTTACGTCTCCCTCTCAAAAGAGGGCTTCCTTTAGATTTTTGTTTTTCATTTTTGTGTGTCGTCGCGGCACTTTCAAGCTCGATCGAAGAGTTCCAACCACAGCACTACCCACCACCTCCGCATTGCTCGGCACTACCTCCGCCGGGTGCCACCGTATCCTGTGTCGCACACGCGCGCACACACACACGCACGCACACGCACACGCACACACACACAACACTCGTTTAGACTGGGTGGGCCGGCTACGCGATGATGGTGGGCAGGGAATACCTGAAGAAGTGGAGCTGCCGCCGCCGAAGCCCGATGAAGAGGAGGAAGAAGACCCAAAGCCGCCCGAGTAGCCGGAGCGGTAGCTCGGGGCGCCGTAGCCACCTCCGTAGCCGTAGCCGTAGTTGGTGGGCGCGTAGGGCCGCCTGTTGAACAGATAGCCCATCTGGTCGCGGCCGGCCAACAACCACAACAAACAACCAAGTCAGGACCCTCGGAGGGGCGCACAAGAGAAGAACGTGTGGGGGGGAAGACGCACGAGGCCGCCAGTCGCCATGCCGGACCAGAAGCCCGGGCCGCCGCCGGCGCCGCCGAGACCCGCGCCAGGGGTGCCGCCGCATCCCGGACCGTAGCCATAACCGCCGCCGCCGCCGCCGCCGCCGCCGTAGGGAGCGCCACCACCGCCATAGGGAGCGCCACCGCCTCCGCCGTAGGGAGCACCGCCACCGCCATAGCCAGTCGCTGCTGGCCTATCGGTGCATCACACAGAGGAAAGTGTGAGCGTGTCGTGTCGTGTCGTGTCGTGTCGTGTGCGGTGAGTGGGCCACGTCTCACCTGGTAAACATCGAATAGCCCACCCAGAGGACGATGCCGATGATGAAGAGCCAGGCCAGGCTGCTGCCCGACGATGAGGCCTCCCTGTCCTGACCGTAGCCCGCGCTGCCGTGGTACCGGCTGGGAGCGGATCGTCAGCTCTCTGGTACGAAAATGAAGACGAAAACGAAGACGAAGACGAGGCTGCGGGGAGGGGGAGTACCTTCCGCTGCGGCGCTCCACGCTGTACTCGAGTCCGCAGCTGCCCTTGAGGATGTAGGGGTCGTCGGGGTAGTCGTACCCCTCGCACACCACTTCAATGCGGCCCATCTTGTAGTCCCTGCGCACATGCCCACGTTCAGGCATTGAGCACACGACACGACACGACACGACACACGACACACGACACGACACAACCACACACGACACACGACACACAGGACACACGTGCGCGCGCAAACGACACGACACACGACACGTACCCCTCAAACTCTGCGTCGCACTTCCACTGAGGCTCTGCACGGTGAGGAGTTGCGGGTGAGGCGCTCCATCAAAGGAGAAGGAGAAGGAGGAGAAGAAGAAGGAGGAGGAGGAGCGAACCCATGGCGTTGTAGCCGGTGACGGTGCACTGCACTACGTCGGGTTCGTAGGGACAGTAGCCGACACACTGCAACTGTGATCACACGGGCGCGTTAAGGATCACACACGACACACACGACACACGTAAGAAGAGAGGGCGCTGGCGAACCTGGGGCACGGGGGAGGAACGCCGGCCGGTGGTCATCTCGCCCTTGCGGAGGGTGAGTGCCGTCACGTCCTTCATGAGCACCTTCTCGTGCTTCGTAGTGCCGAAAAAATCCTGCGTCGGCGCCAACCAGATGGACGATGGTAGTGGATGAGTTTTTGTGCGAAGATGGAAAAAATCTAAATGGCCTGAAAGATGTGCATCAAAGGAGAAAAAAAGAGTGCGTACCCCCGCGGCACATGCCACAACTGTGCACACCACGACTAGAAGAAGCAAGCCAGATGCTTTCATCTTGCTCCTCGTCCGTTTCTCTGGCACTTCGGCTATGACGTCACGTATTATTATTTGTTGCATTTTTGTATTTTTTGTTTGCCACGTCAGCAGTCCCAAAGGGCAGGCTGTGGTCACGACTGGTGTGGGTGCTCCTCCTGCCGCGGCTGATCCTCGCTGTTGGCCTTCTGCAGGCCCTGGTAGTACTCGTTCTCGCCGAGCAGCTGCTCGTGGGTCCCATCTCCAACCAACTACCGCACGTCAATGCCGTAAAAGTTAGAACCGATGTGCCGTGTGGTTGTGTCGTGTGTCGTGTGTCGTGTGTCGTGTGTCGTGTGTCGTGTGTCGTGTGTCGTGTGTCGTGTGTCGTGTGTGTGTGGTGTGTGTGGTGTGTCGAATTACCTTGCCGTGGTGCATGACCAATATGCGGTCAAAGAGGTGCAGGGAAGAGATGCGATGCGTCACAGCGATGACTGCGGAGGGGCACAGGTCACTTAGTTGCCGCATTAAGTCCACAAGCCGGGGGAGTGGCGTGGGGGGGGGAGAGTGTACTGGTCGTGTCTTGGGAGAGCGACGCCATCGTGGCATGCACGCGCTGTTCGGTCATCACGTCCAGCGAAGACGTGGCCTCGTCCAACACAATCACCTGCGGACTGGGCAGTCGACCACAACAACGACCGTCAGCCCAAAGCCAACACAAGCGCGGCGCGGAGAGAGGGAGGCACGTACCTGGAAATGAGCGCTCGCGCGATGCACACGCGCTGCGTCTCGCCTCCGCTCAGCTGTACTCCTCCCGGGCCGATCACCGAGCCCAGCCGGTTGGGCAGATCCTGAACGGGCAACGCGCCCGATGAGGTGCGTGTGGTGTAAAGGGTGGTGCGGTGGACAAGAGCGCACCTGGATGAAGTGCCAGGCGTCGGCTTTGCGGAGGGCGTCGATGACGTCGTCCTCGGACACCGGGTCCGGGGTGGCGTAGGCCAGGTTCTGAAACAGCGAACAGTTCAACAGCTCGTCGTCCTGGGGCACCACCTGCACGAGGTTTTTTTATATTATATTATATTATATTATATACTTATTATTAGAATTTTAAGCATTATTATACTTATTATTAGAATTATTCTTTTTTAAAATGAAGGAAGTGGGCGAGGCGGACCTTGATGCAGTTGTAGAGCTCTTCGGAGACCACGTTGGCGATGTTGGTGCCGCCGACCGTCACCTCGCCCGACTGCCGTGTGGTGGCGCACGATAGCGTCAGATATCTTCACAAACTGTGGTGTGTGAATGCAGGAGCGGAACTGAAGGCGTTGCGTTGCGTTGCTACCTGAGGATGGTAGAGTCGGAGGAGGATCTTGACGAGCGTGCTCTTGCCCGACCCGGACCGTCCCACAATCGCCACCTTCTCGCCTGCAGAGCAAAAGTAAAAATTAATAAATAAATATGTTTGTGGGAGTGAACGGCGTCAACGCGCCATTGTGAATGGTGAAGGAGACGTGGTCGAGAGCCGGGCGCGCCTTGGTGATCAGCGACTCGTACGAGAAGCAGACCTTGGAGAACTGTGTGCGGGCGGCCACGCAGAAAATCGGGTCAATGGTCGCTCCCCGCGATATGAGAGAGATCAGTGCTCCGCACCTCGATCTGGGTCCAATTCGATGGCACGCGGCTCGGAAGCTCCGGCTCCGCCTGCTTCAAGGCCCTGCACTCCTGTGTTTGTGCGTGTGCGTGTGCGTGTGTTGGGCTTCTTTCAGTGTGCTCGCACAGTGCCAGCAACCGCGGGGCAGGGGGGTCTCGAACGAACCGTCATGAGGCGAGAGAATCGGTACATCTTGGTGCACGTCTTGAGGTAGATGTCGTAGTTGTTGGTCATTGCTCGCAAGTGACTAAAGGAACAACATCGCAGATGTCAGGTTGTGCGTGCGTGCGTGCGTGTGCGGCGCAAACCTGTTAAACTTGGCGTAGTATTTGTGCATGAGCAGAACGTCGCCGAGAACTGTGTTGCCTGCAATCAGACTGCCCGTCATGAGCACCTGCAGTCGAAATGGAACCCGGGTGAGTCGCTCAAATGTGGAGAGAGGGTGCGGACACGATTAGCAGTCGGTGCGGACCAGTATCAGCATCTCACTGACGTTGTTGCATACGCGACCGACCGTCACCTTGTAGCGGTCCAGGAACCTGGGGCGCGATAAGCGCGTCAGTGCCACGCCGCACGTTGGCAGGCGGACGGGCAGTGGGCAGGAACGTACAGTATGTTCCTGCGTACGGCCAGCGCTTCACGCACATACGCGTCCAGGGTTGGGAGGATCTAAAGGCAATAAAACACACACACACACAGGTGAGTTGGGGGCAGTAGTGTGGAAGTAAGAGGCTATAGGCAGGCCGTACTTGGTCCATCATGTTGAGCAGCTTGAGCACCAGGATGTGGGCGAAGTAGCCCCACACGCTGCCGGTGGTGGCCTCGGTCTTCTCAAGATAGGTGTTTCGATAGACCACGATCCTGCGCCCCAGCACAAGGGAACCCGTGTTTGCGATCCAGAAGAAGAGAGATGATGATGATGAACAAGAAGCGTCCATACCTGTTCTTGATGTAGATGAAGTGGATGACGTAGAAGATCGATGTAAAGAGGGTGACCAGACCTATTCGCCAGTCCCTGATTAGAGCAGAACAGGTGAGTGGTCGCGTGGTCTGGGCTGGGGGAAAAAGTGATCGGTTGGTACATGTAGAAGATGAACCCGAAAGAGAAGACCGTGCTGAGGAAGTCCTTCACCACGCCCACCCGGAAGAGGAACCGGATGAAGGAGTCGACCGCGTTGGCCCCGTGCTGCGCGGCGGTGCGCGGTCCGAGTGAGACTACATGCCACCATGCCAGTGCAGCCACCTCACGGTCTAGGAAAGTACCTCGACCCGAGTGGCAAGAAGGCCCTGCGGATGTCGCTCGAACAACTGGTATTGTGTCTGTTGCAGCGTTTGGTGAGTGCGCTGCGTGTGTTGTGTGCGCTGCGTGCGGTCGTGCGTGCGTGCGTTGTGTGCGACAAGGGACACACCTTTAGCAGTTCGTTCCAGGCCGTGAGGCGCACTTGGCAGGCGATGTTCTCGGCCAGCACCGAGGTCTGGTACACCACAAAGGCGTCGGAAATGTGGAAGGCCAGATACGACGCCACCGCGGACGCCACCAGCGGATTCAGCCCCTCGTAGTCCGCTCTGTGGGCGGATCACGTGTAGAAGAGCACAACATAAAATGATGAATAATGAATAATAAATGATAAATGCTAAGCCAGCAAGCGCCACCACAGCGCGCGTATGGTGCTGCGACTTACTTCGTGAGCTTGTTGATGTACCAGGAGATGAGGTAGGGCGGCGCCATGCCGAAGAAGGCCACCACGACGGACAGGAGCAAGTACTTGACCACCTGCCGGTGGTAGCCCACGCAGTGCGACCACACCTCTTGGCAGTGCTTCACGAACGAGTACTCTGTCAATATCTACGCCCCCGCCCCCGGCCAGCGCACAGTGAGACGCAGTGAGTGCAGCGTTGCTTTTATTAGTTTTTTATATTTAATTTTAATTTAATTTAATTTATTTGTGTTCCTGGGAGTGCCAGAGGGGGCGAACCTCTATATCTTCCTCTGTCTCGGTCTCCATTGAAATCTACAACTTGCGTTAGTGCCGCCAGGAGTTGTGGGTTGTTTTCGTGTTTTCCTGACCGTTGCGATTTGTTGTAGACACTGCGCGCTGACACTGCGAGCGCCCAATGCGAGGGATTAGCAGTCGAAAATAATAAACCGGGAAATAAGCTGGGGCGGACGGTTTTCAGCGATTGCAGCACCAGAAGGACCAACAACAGGGCCGCGGGAGTATTGGTGCTCTCTCCAGGTGTGGCGATAACAAGGGTTAATTCGTCAATTCTGAAAGACCCAGCCCCACCCATTTCGCACAGCGCTAGCCCTCCTTAAATCTCGCCCGAGCTCTCGATCGAGGCGTGTCGTTGGAGTCCGTCCGCGAGGAGAATTAGTAGTTTTTTTTTACGATTCGACACCCGCCCCCTCGACACAATGAATCATCAGACGATCAATCAACAGCTTCACGGGTTGTTGGTGAAGCTGCACCAGCTGGGTCAGGACCACCCGCAGGTCCTGATCTACCTGACGCAGATCGCTCAGCCCAAGCTGCCTCAGAACCTCATCATCCCCTTCCTCGGTCAAATGTTCGAGAAGCTGCCCCCCTTCCTCTCCAAGATCGAACCCCCGAAGCTGCAGCAACTCATCAAGGACCCGCCCGCTGACGCCGTGCCGCTGCGCATCCTTATCGATCTTCTCGGCATTCAGCAGCTCCTGCAGCAGATCACCGTCCTCCAGCTGCTTCACCTCACCAACAACACAATCCCCCCTGGATCGCAAGAGAGCCAGGAGGCGTTCTTGAAGAAGGTTCGTAAAATCATTTATTGCTCACAATTACCCGATTATTGCATTGTCAATTTCCATGTGTGCCTGTATCGCTGACCATGACGTTCAATGGGATTGAGTAGGTGCAAGAGGTGTTCCAGTCGTGGTCCTTCGACACCATGAAGCGCTATCACTCGATCCTGTCGGAGACGCCACTTCACCTCGAGCGCCAGCAGCTTCTTCAGCTGGAGCCGGGCCTGCCCTGGGAGATCCTCCACCTCCTGATCGAGCTGCTCAAGCTGCCGGTCGATGAGCTCTTCTCGCTGCAAAACTGGCTCTCCAAGCTCTCGCCTCAGCAAACGCGTGTCCTCATCCAGCTTCTCCAGATCGAATCCTCCACCCTCCTCGAGATCAAGCGTCGCATCGCCTCTGCTACGCATGCCCTCTCCTCATCAGCGGCTGGCCTCACGACATCTACGTCGGCCAAGACCACCACTGCCCCTACTCCCTCCTACGTTCCTCCTCCATCTGGCCCTACTACTCCTCTACCCTCGACTCCCGGCTCTTCATCTATCCCCTCCACTCCTTCCACCTCCTCTGCTGTCAAGCGCGGCCGAAAGCGACCGGCCGACGACGAATTGCAGGCCATTCAGGACGAATTGGATCTCATAGGTGATGGCCACGGCTACGCGATGGACGTGGCAGGTGCACAGGGATTCCTTCTCGAGGGCCACGAAGGCCCGCCCCTGCTCTCGGTGCAGCCTTCTTCATCAGCCCCCACGAGTCCGCTCTCGATGAGCTCGATCGGGATGGACACTGGCCCCACCACAACCGCTACAGGAGAATCTGATGGTGCAGGTCACTCAGTCGCCGCTGACGGCACACCACAAAGGTACGTGCCATTTCTCCATTGAATTTGCACCAAGTGTGAGCAATTCGCTCTTATGATTATTTTCGATCTGATCTGATCACTGCAACACATTTTCGCGACACCTGCAGGTTCCAGATTCGGATAGCGCGGCAGCCACCATCGAAAACAGTGTACCAGCGCATCCTCAAGCCTTTCCCGACGGTGATGCTGCTTTCGGGCCAGGACAACGACTCGAATCTATTTGTGGAGGCTACCCTGCTGCGAAGCGACAACGAGGTAAGAGCCCCCCCTCTCTTTCGTTGCACGCACTTCGAAACCTCAGCACGAGGACTAACACGGACCGTTGTGCAGACGCCATTGCCGCAGTGCGTGGACGGGAATCGGATCGTCAGAATCACGAACGGTGTGTTCGCCGCGTTCAAGAAGCTCAAGATCCTCTCAACGTCGCAGCAGCAGGGAACGCTCTTCCGGCTACGATTCACGCTCAAGAAGTACGTTTGACCACGTTTGAGCTGCACCAGTGAAAAATAGTACCCTAAACCCGGCCGTTTGCAGGTATGCCGGTGCTCAGGCGGCGTTTGAGGACATTCCCGGCTGCACCGTGATCTCAAACCCCATCGAGGTCTTCTCTCACACGCAATACCTCAACGAAAAGCAAGAGAGTAAGTACTCCTCCACCGCAACTCTTCTCGCTCGCTCGCTTTTCGCGCCGCATTATTCGTTTGGGCGTATGTCCGTGGTTTTTTTTGTTTTTGTTCCCCCCCTGCTGCCGCGCGTGTGCGGCAAGGCTGTGTGCGTGTGCGTGTGCGGCGGCGCGCGTGCGAATCGAGCGGAAATGAAGAAGAGACCCAGTGTTTTAATTTCGGTCTCCGAAACATTTGCGAACCATCTGCAGATTTACAAAACGGGACAGGAAAGCACACACCCGGGGCAAAGCCTTTTCTTTGCTTTTCTCGTGTTCGTTCTCGTGTCCCTCTATAAGACCTTGGCGACTTACCTTCTTCTTGTTTCTTCCCCTTTTGCCTATACAGGTCCTCCGCCGCCGGTGGTGATGGAGGTCCTACCCTCGGCGGGTCCTGTACATGGCGGAACACGGATTGTAATTTTGGGAAGCAACTTCATCAATTCATCGAACCTGAAGGTGCGCTGCTTCTCCGCGGCCAGTGGCCAACAGGCTGGCCCTGGTCCCCCCTAACTAACTCGTCTTCGTGGCGCAGGTGAGATTTGGCGACATGGTAGTGCCAGCCACCTTCCACGAAGCGGGAACGCTTATATGCGTCACGCCTTCTCGCGGTAGAGGTGTTGCGCTTGTGAGGTAGGGCTCTCTCTCTCTCTCTCTCTTCTCTATTCGCTCTGCGCACGCCCGAGACTCACATTCAACCGCTTCGCACCAGCGTTACAAACGACGGAGTCAACTTCTGTGAAACGCAGACGCAGTTCACGTTTGAGTAATTATTGTAATCAGACTGCAAAAGTCATTTGCCCGGAGAAGAGGTACGCGCCTTTCTCACAGTTGCCCCCAAGAGGGGTTGAGGTGCGAGTTGAGCTCACCCCAATCCGGTCCTTGTTGTGGTGGTGGTGTAGGCGGTGCGTCATCGCTGAGAGAGCGTATCGATCGTGGTGGAGTGAGTGTGGTAGCGTTGCTTGGCGGCCTGGAGAGGCGAACGAGAAGAAGAAGGAGGAAGAAGGTTTCGAAGTCGACGAAGCGAGAGATGGAGGTGACGACGAGCGCGACGACGGCGAGGGCAGCCTAATATTAGGTGCCCCGAACACCAGGTCTGCTACGTCGCTCGTTGTGGCACAACGAGCGACACGAAGGATCGAATGGAGGAGGAACAGAGGAGAAGAAAGGAATGACGAAGAGGACAGCCGAGAGCCTTCCGACCTTTGGACACGCCATCGTCGCCGTCGTCATACCAAGCACGCTACACACCAACCCCGAACCGCAGCCGAACGCCAATCAACAGACCACCAACACCCACACAGGCGACTCGTCCCCGCAAACAGTTTTTCGAGCCAACCCCCCAATCTTCTGGGACGTGGTAGGATACGTTGCTCCAAAGAGAGAGAGGGTTGTACGACCACAAACACTATTTAATCACCACCTTCACCACCTTCCCACTTGATCTCTATTTCCGCCCAAACCCTTCCGGTTCTTCTTCTACTTCTTCATGAAGGATTCGACCCAAGAGTATTCGGTCAGCCCGAAGTCATCGAAACCCCCACGTGGCGCTAACATGGCGACCACTGTTTTGGTCGACATGGGGACCTGTGGTTGGCCGCCACGTGGAAGCACAAAGTTCGACCGAAGTTGGGAACAAACAAAAGCGCGAAATTGGCCTACGGTTGTTTTTCTTTTGACCGCAGACGCACAAGCCGCAGCTGCAAAGCCGTGTTTATTCGCATCCTACACATAGCCATCATCATGAATTCCCCGACCGACTTGGCGACCACCACTAGCATGTCCTCTAGCCCTGCCAGTCCCTCCAGCTCAAGAGAGTTTCTCTTGGGCCTGCCCACCACCAGCAGAACTGGTCAATCCCAGGTTGCAGCTAGCCCGGAAGTGGATCCCACAGCTTTGGCTCAGGCCGTAGTAGTGGTCGTGATTGCCCCGCCATTGGCCACCTTCGACTTCAATGGCTTCCGCTGCGAAGTGTTCTCCAGCGCGCACAACCTGGCCCTGCCCGCCGCCGAGCGGCGCTACTACTATTCGCCCGCCCTGCGACTGGCTACCACCACAACCGACCACCATCACCCAGCCGGCAACACCGACTCGCAAGTAGTAGAAGAAGAACAAGAGTGCGAGGAATGCGAAGAGCTCGACACGCGGATGGTTGAACTGGTCGATGGCTTCTACAAGGTGAGCCTTGTGGCCGAGTTCGACCCGCCGGCCGTGCGCCGGCTGGCCATGACCACCCTGCAATCCGTCCTCCCGCCGCCGACTACGCCGCGCTCGCCCTGCGGGAATCGAACCTGCGCGCCCTGCCCGTGGTCCGAGTCGGCTGGCGCGTAGTCGACCCGCTGCCGCTGGACCGGATCGGGGTCACCTTCTACCACTCCTCCGTGCCCGCGCTCACGCCCGGCCGCCGCTTCCCGCTCGAGCTCATGGTCGCCGGCGGCGAGTCCCGTGCGCGCCAGGTCAAGCACGCCTTGGCCCGGCTCACCCTCACCGCGCGCCTCACCTTCTCCGCCCGGTCTGTTGCCGCCCCGGCCGCCGCCGCCGCCGTGGCTGCTCATCAGGCCGCCGCTGCCGTGATTAGCGCCACTGCGAGTCAGCCCACCCAATCGGTGATGATCAAGACTGGTCACCTGATCGCGTCGCAGGCCTGGCGAGCCCTGTGGGACAGCGCCCAGCGCCACCCGCCACCACCCGCCGCTCCCCGCTGGCCGCGGTCGGAGGTCAAGCTCGAGGCCGGCGTGAGTGGCGGTGGCCGCCGGGTGGTCGGCGCTCGCAAGTCCGAAAGCCACTCGCTGACGACGATGATGGCGGGCGTGCTGGGCTGGCTCGGGTGCGAGAAGACGGCCTTCGTGGGGCAGGTGGCGAGGTTGGCGCGCGAGTTCCGAGGGGAGATCGGGGCGCAGCCGACCCAGCGGATGCTCGCTGGCAGCGCGGCCGCGGCCAAGTTCGAGGAGCTCACCGCCAAGTACGTGAACTCTTCGTCGAGGCGCGTGGTCGTGTGGGAGCACGCGGCACGAAACCCACTTCCTCTTCGATCCGAGCCGCTCCTTCTTCAACAAGTCGACGTGTGTCAGGCCCAGCTCGAACAAGCGCTCAACAAGCTCTTCGTCAAGGCCACCACAACGACGACCGACGAGATGAAGAACGGCGATGACGTCAGCAACAACGACTGCTACCAGTTCCAGGCCCCGAGGTCGGGCTCGTCGGAGGCGGCCCATTGGGCGCTGTGGGGCGGCTGGCCTGCCAAAGGGCGCGGCGGAAGCTGGAAGCTGGTCGAGCTGCAGCGCGAGCTCCGCGAGAAGTGCGGCGTGTGGGTCGAGGCCTGTCAGACCGGCGGCGGCCGGCTGGTGCCGGTCAAGCTCGTGGCAGTGGTCTTGTCTCTGGCCGGCCTGATGCCCGGCGGACGCGAACGCAGCATCGGCTGCCTACACACCGCTCCGGCCCCGTCGGGTCTGCCGAAGCTGGGCCCGATCTTCCCCGACGACGGCCTTCGAATGCACCGCGAGCTGCAACTCACCCACCACTACGCGGCCGGCCACATCGACTCGTCGGCTGCGATATCGAGCAAGGAGACGGTGGACGATCGGCCGCTGAAGCGTAGGAAGAGTGAGCCGGACGGGGATCGCACAGAAACCATTGATGACGGGGCCAAAGAAGAAGAAGAAGAAGTCGAGCGCAAGGCCAAGAGGAGGCGAGGGCGCGACGATGAAGAAGACCAGTTGCGATGCCAACTGGCCAGAATGACCGAGACGATAGCGAGGCTGACGAAGGACAACGAAGTACTGCGACAGAGGGAGAGAGAACGAGCAACAACGGAGACCATGCGCGAGTAGTCACTACAAAAAAGAATAGAAAAAAAAGGAACATACAGTCATGTGTTCTCCTACTTTGTGCATTCATTGGTATAACGAAGGTCTCTGAGACCCGCCGAGATCAGCACGGCACCATCTCGGTCACGATGTCGCACAAGCTCACCGACAAAAGTCGCTGCAGTCTCTTTTGCTGCACGACCGCTTCATGTGAGAAGAAGAGCCTTCAAGGCGCAGTAAAACCAACAGGGCGGGCGTACCAGTTCGGGGTTGGTGAAGGAGGCGGTCCAAAGCTGGGGCAGGAAGGTGAGGAGCGCCTTCTTGATGTTGTTCAGCGACGTGAGGGACTTGAGCTGAACCGTGGCCATGTCGTTGATGGTACGCCCGCTTGTGCGTGCCTTGTGTCCTATCACCCTGGCCAACTTTTCTTCGTCCTGCGCACCGCAGTCAGACACCGCCGTTCGCACACACAGCACACGCGACACACACACACATACGGAAGTACCACTAGATCTCGCATGAACTGCTGGACGACGTTGACGTTGTAGGTGGAGATGAACGCGTTCATGGGGGTCATGTAGGGCTCCTTCTCGCCGAACGTGATGTTATTCATGAGGTTGTAGACTGCCTTCGCCACCAGCGTCAGCGTGCGCTGCTCGGCCGGGGTCCGCGCTGCATTTTGGAGTATAATTAGTACAATACACCAAAAAAAGCCAAAAACAAATAAATAAGACTAATTGACAATAAATAATAAAATAGAGAAAATCAATAATATGACACAACAACGTACATTGCCCGTGTCTCGGTGTGACGATGGCGGGCGATAGGAAGCGCAGGAAGAGGAGGTTGGCGATCGATTGCAGGTACATGGCGGGCAAGCGCCGCGCGACCTCCATGCTGATCACGTGGAAGGCGCGCCGCACCGTCCTGTCGTGGTGGGCCACCACACACGAGCGCGTCCCGATGAGTGCCGAGCACACAGGAAAAGGAAATGCGCGGGGGGGGGGCGAGGCTGTACGGCGGGCAGTAGTCCGAGGAGCGGCAGACGTGCGCCACAAAGTTTTGGCACATCTCCAGGAGCTGCGCGGCGTTGGCAGCACATTCGGCCTCGGAAACTCGCAGTGGGTTCACCTGTGTGTGTGTCGTGTGTCGTGTGCGTGTGTCGTGTGTCGTGTGTCGTGTGTCGTGTGTCGTGTGTCGCGTGTCGCGTGTGTCGCGTGTGTCGTGTGAACGTGTTTAGATGCCATCGTAGGTCGCTTTGGTGTGCCCCGGGACCGACGCACCTCGAGCGGCTTGTTGAGCGTGTGCACGGCCTCCATGAGTGGTCCGGTGCAGTGCTGGAGGTAGTAGGAGGCCTCGAGGTTGAGAAACGTGACGAAGAGCCGCACGCCGGCGCTCTCCTCGCGGAAAACCACTTGGCTCTCAATCTCGTCCGCTGCAGCGGATGACACACATGACACACACGACACACACGACACACACGACACACAACGGTCAGTCAACACGATAGATTGGAGTGGGTCGGGGGGAGTACATTTCGGGGTGGCGCTGAGATCGTCTTCGATGAGGGCCGCCAGGAGCAAGGGGAACTTGCCCATGGACGAGTAGAAGACCGACACGGCCTCGAACAGCTGTGTTCGCACCGATTCCTCTTGCTGGTCGCCCGACACACACACGCACACCACACGCACCACCGCACACGACACGACACGACACGACACAAAGAAGAGCTTTAAGCAAAGAGTTAAGGCAATCGGAAGAAGAAAGAAAGTGCACGGAGTGATCGTACCACTTGAAGCCCGGTCTGCAGGATGGCCTTCGTGAGCACAAACTTGCTGTCCCACGAGTCCTCGAGCAGGAGCTGCCCATCGCGTCGACGAAACACACGCACACGACAGTCAGTCCAAACGCACCAGGCAACCACACACACACACACACACACACAACGGTAGAGTGGCGCGCATACCTCGATGAAGGAGTGGAGGATGCGGTTCTGGTGGAAGTAGCTGTGGTAGTGGCTCTGCGTGGGGATCGGGATCAGCGTCTCCGGCAGGTTGTCCGGCGGCTGCGGCGGCTGCGGCTGTTGCGCCGCCGCAACGCGGGGCAAGCCCGACTTGACCTGCTGCTGGATCTTGCTGCCGCTGTTGGCCCGCTTCTTGCTGTTCTCCTTCGGGTCGGTCTGGCGCGGCTTCTCGCCGCGGAGCGACACGCCAGTGTCGTCGCAGGCGACGGGCGCCGGCGGCGGGGAGGGCGAGGCGTCGCGGGCGGAGGAGAGCGGCGATGACGTGCCCGCCACCGACGACGAGAGGAAATAAAAGCCGCGTTTGGATTTTCGCTGTGGCGACTGGGGAGGGACCTGCTGGTGGCCACACGACACGACACGACACGAAACACGCGAGGCACCGGGCCGCACACGCACGACCCCACACAACGCGGCATGTGTGGTGAGTCGAGGGCAAGGGCGGGGGAGGAGCATGAAGCGTACCGCGTTTTCCTTTTTGCCCTCTTCTCCACCGGACACCTCGGGGGTTGCCCCGCTCTCGCCCGACGTGTCTGCACGGTTTAGTTTGACCGCGGAACGTGTGTGCCGTGTGTGTGTGTGTGTGTTGTGCCGCGTGTGCCGTGTCGTGTCGTGCCGTGTGTGTCGTGTATGCGTGTGTGCGTGTTACCCTGATAGCTGATCTTGACGTCGGGTAGCGATCCGGTCTTGGTCAGTCGTCGCTTGCTGTCCGCGGACAGCTCTTCGTCCCTCAGCGCCTGCTCCTTGCTCTTGACCGGTCGCTTCTCCTGCACTTCGGCCGCCGTGACCGGCTGCTGCTGCTGCGGCATTGGCTGTTGTTGCGCAGACTGCTGCGGCTGCTGCTGCTGCTGTAGTTGCTGCCCTGCGTCCCTGACCTCCTTGAGCAGCTTCTCGCGGTCCTCGCGCTGCAGCTTGTCCCGCTCCTGCCGCGATCCCTGGAAAATCGATTTGAAGAGGCCCTTCTTTTCGCCCCGCGCATTGACCGCGTCGCCGCTGAGCGACATATGGGCCTCCTTCTCCTTGGCGTCGCCCCCCGCGCGGTCAGCACTGTCTGCGGGCACAGACGCCTCCGCAGTCTCTTCGGGCACAGCGGCGACTTCCCCCTCCTGTGAAGCCAGCGAACCAGAATCAGGCAACACGCACGACACGACACACGCAGACGAACGACGCGCACGGCACAGAGAGATGTGAAGAGAGGGGAGGTACCGAGGAAGTTGAGTGTTCACCTGGGAAGCTGAAGGGGAGGTGGGCAGCCTCGAGCAACGAGAAGTCCGACTTTTGAATCTCGAGCGCCCTGCAGTAATGGAGATCGTCGGATCGAACATAAGCATCCGGTGTGTGTATGTGTGTGTGTGTGTGTGTGGTGTGTGTGTGTGTGTGTGTGGCGAGCGGTACTTGAATTCGTCGGCAGACCCGATCACTGGCGTGCAGACGAAGCACATGATCGATCTGGATGTGAGGTAGATCATCTGTTGCGCGCGCCGCAATGGTCAGTCACTCCCCACGCCCGCTGTCAAATTGGGACCAACCCAATTCAATGGTGCGCGCGCGCGAAGATTATGAGGTCGGTACCTGGCCGAGGAGGTCCACGGAGAGGTCCGGGGTGCGTTTGAAGGAGACGGTGAAGAGCGAGGCCTGGCGCTGGTAGAGAATGGATCGGAAACTGGAGAAGCTGGTGTCCGCGGGCACCTTCACGGTGAAGTATTTCGACATGTGGCTGCCCGTCTCCGCTTTTATCAGCTTTTGTAGTGACTGTTTTTGCGCGTGCAGGAAGAGTGGCGACGTAGATAGATATGATGTGTGTCGTGTGTGTGGAGTGTGTGTGTGTCAGTATTTACATTGTCTCGAGCCACACTACAGTGCAGAGAGTAGGAGGTCATTAAAAACGTACTGGCCCAGTTTGTATAATGCTACAGTCCCGATCGAACATGATGTGGAATGGGTGCAGGCGGCTGAAATACCGCACGCTCATGCCTTCCTTCGGACCCGCGTCCTGCGGACAGCTGTCCGTCTATATGGTCGGGTGGTGCGGGGGGAGCGTCAACTCGACGGTTTGTTTGGAGAGCAGATGCGAGCTGGGAGGGGGACGACGAACCGAGGGCGGTGACCACGAGAAGGTGTGGTCCTCGCGGTCGTCCTTGTTCGGGTACGATCGCGTCACGAAGTCCTTCCCTCGACACAGCTCACCAGCGAGACCCTTCAACACACCTACACGACACTCACCGACCACACACACACACACACACACACGCACCCGACACACGACGACGACACAACACAGTGAGTCGGTGCACTCAAATGCGCGTGGGTGGATGTCCATTACCGATGAAAAAATGCGAGCTGCCGGGTGGCCACCTGCCCGGCGTAAAGTGTACACGACTGGAGTTGGACTTTTGGCTGACCAGCTGCAAGAAGCATGGAAACAGGCGACACGACACGGAGCGGGGGAGGTTAACGTGGTACTGAAGTCAGAAGAGAGTCGATGCAGCCGCGGGTGGCAAGTGGTGGGCGCACCTCAATGTTGGGCGTCGTGCCAATGAGATGGCCGCAAGCGGTTTGAAATAGGACAGAAACACCTCCACGTCGCTTCCCCGGTGCACACGCAACAAGTGGTCGTTGCCCTGTGTGCGTGTGCGTGTGCGTGTGCGTGTGCGTGTGCGTGTGCGTGTGCGTGTGCGTGTGCGTGTGCGTGTGCGTGTGCGTGTGCGTGCGCGTGCGTGTGCGTGTGCGTGTGCGTGTGCGTGCGGCACGAAGGCGTAAGACGCAGCGCCCAAAACAAAGTATGTCGTGGCATATGCCTCCTTCATCAAGAGCAACGAGCAGCGTAATCCCACGCCCTCGAACACGTCTTCTGCTTTCATCCCCAGCACCTGATGAAGAAGAAGCCAGAAACGTCGAAGACGACGGAGAAAGAGGAGAGCGCTGAGTGCCGAGAGCAGAGCGACTGTCTGGACACGTGGGTGTACCTCGGTACAGGCCTTAATGAGCCGAAAGAAGGCGACCTCCTCATAGAGCTGCTTGGCAACATAGTCGTCGGGGACGCTCGCCCTGCTCGCAACCAGCCCCCACTCGGGCTTCGTAGATTGGAGCGGAATCCAGTCCTGGCGGGGAAGTAAATAAATGAGCGCAACACGATACCACGTATCGCCATAACATGCAGAGAATAGGGTCGAGCTGGGCGCGGCAGTAAGCAAATAAAGGATTTGTTATTATTGTCGGGGGGGGGGGTGAGAGTGTGCACCTTGACAGCGAGGAACACTATCCCATACATTCTTGTGTCCGTAAGATTATTCTCAGCGCACCACTTATGTATCTCGCAACTGATCTATCAATCTAGTTTCACTTCCTTGTCACCTGGCAGGTATGGGTTGTGGAGTACCGGCTGCGGACTTTCCTAATACACACCAAGAGACGCACCAAAAATGGATATTGTTGAAAATAATCAAAAACAACAAACAAGTGGAGAGAGCGTACAAAGGGTTGGCGCCTGGGTTGATGATGCTCGTTTTGTCGATCACACACACACACACACACACACACACACACACACACACACAGGGGCGAGGGGACGAGAACAAATGCGTGTTTTAAACAAAGAAAAAAGAGAAATAGAAACCTTACTCGAGCAGCTTTCGGAGTCGCTCGTTGTCGGCTAGCTCCGAGGGCAGCGTGCCATCGTTATCGGGGATGGTCTTGTCGGCTCCATGCTCGAGAAGAAGCTGCAGCATCTCTTCGTTCTCGCTCAGTGCGGCATAGTGCAACACCGTCTGCGTCGTGTGGCATGGTCAGAATACAATTAGATGCCCTTCAATGACGACACCACCTGTACCTGTCCATCGCCGTCCCGAGCATTCACCGCAGCCCCGCGTTTTAGCAAGTCGGCCGCGACAGCAACGCGTCCTGGAAAGCCAAACATGAGCTTTTTTTTGTTCATTCTTTCAGAGAGGCCAAGTGAAGAGCGGCGCACCTTTGTCGGCAGCCCACATCAGCGGCGTGCGCCCATCTTCGTCCGGCTGGTCGAGCGTGAACTGGCCCTCAGCGAGGAGGGAACCAACCTGGGCCAAGTCACCCGTGCTGGCAAAGTACCAGATGTCTTGCTCGCCCTCTTCTTCGTCCCTGCCAGTGAGGTGACAGGACGCGGGAGAACAGCGCTGCTGTGAGCACGGTGCATAACTTGGGCAACCTGGAGGCGGTGATTGTGGTGGAGGAGATGACACGCACTCGGAGTTGGGCGCAACGGGTTGACTGAAGACCACCATCCCCGACTTGTTCCCGGTCTTCTTGGCTGGCTGTGGCTCGGCCTCTCCGTCGCCGTTCCCTTTCATCTCTTCCGCTTTCTGTACAGGGCGAGCAGCATGCATGAGCGCGGCAGACCAAGGAGACGGGGGTGAGTGCACAACGCGCGCAGAGCGGAATTGGAGAACGCACGGTGCTCTTATCCCAGCCGGGTACGAACTTGTCCACGGTCTCGCCGTACTTCTGCATTGCTTCTTGTTGGGTCATTTTACCCAAGTCATTCCACGCTGTCCTGCAGGTGCAGCGAGTGGGAGAGTTACAGATTTTAGTTTTATTACTTTATTACATTGAGTAGCAGAAGGATCGAATGCAAAAGAAGAAGGAGGAAACCATTTCGCTCTATCTGCAAAATTGAAGATTGAGGGCTTAGACATGTTGCACGGCCCCTGGTTTGCTTGCTTGAACAGGCCATACAAGGAGAGTTGCTGCGCCTGATCAAAGGAAAGTTTGTTCTTGTTTTCCGCCAGGAACTGCACAGCCGCGTCGAACCTTGCCTTACCCTCCATCTTGTTGTTTTTGTTTTTTTTTGTTTTCCTAATTTCCTCATCTTTTCTCATAAGTTATCGGGTGTCGGGAAATAAGAGGGAAGAAAAAGGCGGGAACTTGGTTGCGCCAGCCGGTGATTATTTTGTGTCGACTGGTGACGAGGCGGTTTTGGGGCCGTTTTGGCGCCACTCGCCACTTCACCAAGAATCGCACAGGTATCGAAGCCGGAGGAGGAATCACATCGAGTAGAGGAGGAAATGAGAAGCTTCTTCCTCTTCGCTGCGTTCGCTCTCCTGGCGCTGCTCCTCAGTGCGACACCAATCGCGGGTCTGGATGAGGAGGAGCTGGTGGCGCCCGAGGTGGAGGTGAAGACGGTCTCGCCATTGTCGGTCGATACCGGCTGCATCAACGAGACGCACAGCTGCCACGAGAAGGCGCGATGCGTGATCGGCCTCACCGGCTACGAATGTCAGTGCCTCAAGGGCTATGCCGGCGATGGCTACTCCATCTGCGCGGACATTGACGAATGCGATCCGAGCCATCGCAAATGCCATCCTCTCGCTGTCTGCACCAATTTCGAGGGCGGCTTCGAGTGCGCGTGCCCCGAGGGCTACCAGGGCGATGGTGTGGCCGAGTGCGTGCTTGGGGACCGAGGTACTTTCCGCCCCCGTCCGATCGACGTTTCTCCGCCCGAGCCGATCAAGGCCCCCGGCCTCTACCTCGAGCTGCGCGGCGGCGAGTCCATCTCCATCGACCAGAAGCAGGCCACGAGCTACAAGGATCCTGGATGGAGCGTGTTCAAGGCCGGCGGTGCCCTCGCCGAGGCCGAAGTGTGGTACGAGCTGCCCCAAGATCTCAACACCGGCCGCGTCGGCACCTACGAAATCGAGTATCAAGCGACCGACAAGGAGGGCAACGTGGCCGAGAAGCGCTACCGCAAGGTCGAAGTGACCGACATCGACGAATGCGCGCTGGGCGAACACGCCTGCTCGGAGAACGCCGAGTGCATCAACACGATCGGCGGCTACGAATGCGTCTGCAAGGAGGGATTCGCCGGAGATGGTTTCAAATGCCACGATGTCGACGAGTGCAAGCTCGGTACCCACAACTGCCACGAGAAGGCCAACTGCACCAACACCGTTGGCAGCTACATCTGTACTTGCCAAGACGGCTATGAGGGCGACGGCTTCACCTGCGTCGACATCGACGAGTGCGCCCGCAACACCGCTCAGTGCGACGAGCACGCCACCTGCATCAACCTCGAGGGCAGCTACGATTGCGAGTGCGAGAAGGGGTACAAGGGCGACGGCTGGCACTGCGAGGCTATCGACAGCTGCGAGGAAGGTACTCACGATTGCGACGAGCACGCCGTCTGCACCAAGACCAACGACACCCCTGAGGGCTACCGCTGCAAGTGCAAGCGCGGCTTCGTCGGCGATGGACGCATCTGCGAAGATATCAACGAGTGTCTCGATCCGGATCTCTACAACTGCCCCGCTCATTCCCACTGCGTCAATACCGTCGGTTCGTACCGCTGCGAGTGCGACGAGGGCTTCGAGAAGGCCGATGACGACTACACATGCCGTGACATCGACGAATGCCTCCTCGAGATCCACGAGTGCTCGCCTCACGCGATCTGCACCAACACGATGGGCTCCTACGAGTGCACGTGCAAGCCTGGCTACGAGGGCAACGGCCGCGTCTGTGCCCCGCTTCAGCCTCCTCTGGACATTCAACTCGAGGGTACACCTCCTCCTTTGCGTCTCGCCAGTCACTGTTAAGCTTACTGTTTTCTCGCCTCTACTCTAGGCGACAATCCTCTCGTCCTGAACAAGTGCGAGACCTACAACGAGGAAGGCTTCACGCTTACCAACAAGGAGAAGAACCTCAGGGTCACTACCACTATCCCCTCGGCCCTCACGGCTCCCTTCATCCAGGACCTCGGTAACTTCACCGTGACCTACACCGTCTACGACGGCAGGGAGAGGCTCGGCGCGATGGAGAGGCTTGTCGTCGTCAACGCCATCAACCCTTGCGAACTGCCCGTCGGCCACCGCTGCCGTCACAAGTGCCACCCCTACGCTCAGTGCGTCTTCCTCGGCGGCTCGGACTACGACTGCGAATGCCGCGAGGGCTTCGACAAGGTGATCGACCCCATCACGGGCGAGGTCTACTGCAAGGACAACCAGCCGCCCGTCATCTTCCTCCAGGGCCAGAACCCGACCATCCTTCGCGCCTGCCGCGTCTGCCAGTGGTACGACCCGGGAGAGTCCTACAGCGAGGAGAAGCACGGCGGCTTCTTCGCCTACGACAACCTGCCCGACGGCCGCCAGGTCGACCTCACCTCGCGCGTCCGCATCACCAATGAGTCGCTCGGCGCCAACGAGTGGGCTCTCTACTACAACGTCGAGGATGCCGCCGGCAACCAGGCCGAGACCAAGACCCGCATCGTGAGGAAGGAGGTCGAGGACGTCTTCGAGAAGATCGCCCGCATGGAGCAGTTCCTCGAGAGCCGGTTCGAGGACTTCCAGCCCGCCTTCACGACCTACAACGCCCTCTACTCGTACGGCCGCTGGTTCCTCCAGGTCATCTTCTTCCTCTTCGGCTTCATCGTCCTCTGGGTGCTGGTGCCGCGTCTGCTCGGCCTCGGCAGGGTCCTCCTCTTCAACCCCAACCCGACCTTCCCCGAATTCCAGTACGCCTACGACTTCTACTACACCCTCACCCGCCCCTGGTGGAACCAGCAAGAGCGCGAGAAGCAGACCATGGTCATGGTGCGTGAGCTCTCTTTCTCTCATCTTCCTTCTTCTTCAGCCCCTTTCCTGCGAGTTGCAGTTTGCTCGTCATCTTCGTTCTTCTCACACAATGGCACAATAGTGGCAAAAGAGGAAGTACGACAAGCACCAGTAAGCGTCGAACTCCCGGAGGGCGAGATCAATCAGTGTAAGAGTCGGAAAGAGGTGAGAGAGAGACGAGAGAGACGAGAGAGACGAGAGAGAGTATTTAAACGCTTTGACCAGTTCATGTGTAGATGTGTACCGGAAGAGTGTGAGGGCAAAGGCAACGACAACCAAATACATCGAGATGGTGCCTGTACTTGAACATGACCGCTCTTCCTTCTTGTGGCGATAAATGCGGGTAAAAGTTGAAGTTGTGGAATTCGAGCAATTAGAAGTGGTCTCCCCCACTCCGCCGGCAAGTCCGTCGGTTCTTCTGCGCCGTCCTTCTCGCTTTGGCCAAGAGACTCAAGAGATCGAAGGCACTGGTGCTTCTCGCGTTACCCAGAACACAAACATCAATCAAGCATCCAGACCTCCTCAACCACGCTCAATCACAAGATGGCCGCTGCAGCTCCCGTTTTTTCTGTGGACAGATTCCTCGTGCGTGCATCTCACATTCATTCTTCCCTTGATCGCCAACATTTATTCGAAATCTGTAGCGGCATGGGCGCACGCACATAGTTGCTTTGATTGTGCTTTATGCTCTGCGAATTTTGTGCGCTTGCTTCTCATCTCTCGTGCATGCGTGCAGGCAAAGAGCGAGGGCGTGAAGTTCAAGGAGGGCGAAGAGCTCCCGGAGACGATTGACTTTTTGGACTTCATCTTCGAGGTGTGCCTGCTCTTCGACTCGCTCGGCAAGGCCGGCTTCAGCTTCGTCAAGAGCGATCTCGAGACCAAGAGCGGAATCATCCGAGTGATCCATGACAAGAACCCCGAGGACAACCACACCCTGCAGCAGGTCAACTACCACTTCCGCTCACTTCCGCCGTTGTTATTATTATTCCTATTTATTCGTTTCATCTATTCGTTCTCATTTTTATTCTTATTTCTCATTTGTTTGTGTGTTGGCGTGTGTCCTTTTTAGCAAATGGCAATCGTGTTTGTCTCGTGTGCGCACTGTCTCACACTGACGCACGACACGTGCACGTAGATGGTGGAGCGTGAGATGGCGGAGAAGACCGAGCGTACGCCGGCGTCGGGCAGCCGAACGCTGCTGCGCCTGATGTGGGGCTGCCAGTTCATCCGCATCCTGCTGAAGGAGCTCGACGCCAACGACAGCCTGTCGACCAAGGACGCCCTCCGCATCTCCTACGACAAGGTCCTCGCGCCGCACCACCCGTGGCTCATCCGCAAGACCGTCGGCGCCGCGCTCCACCTGGCGCCCGACCGCAACAAGTTCCTGGCCAAGCTCGGCGTGGACATGGACAAGAAGGACGAGTACCTCTCCCGAATCGAGACCTCGCTGGGCGTCACCTGCGACCGCATGTACGCCTACTACGAGAAGAACGGCCTCCTCGACCTCCCCTGAAGATCAAGATCACATCACGTACACACTACTACACACTCAGCAGGCCTCTCTCATTTTTTTTGTTATTAACCGCTCTTTCAGCCAACTCGAACATGCACAAAGTTTACAAACTACGCATCTCTCATTGACACACACACCACACAGCACAACAACACAACAACAACACACACACACACACACAAACGGTCTGACTGTGTGGCTGTGTCTTCGAGTGCCAGCAATTGGTGTGTTGCACGCAGGATCTTTAATGCTTGGCAACAGCAAGTGGGCGTTGAACCTGAGACCCGCCGCGGCCGCCTGGCCTCACTCACCCGCCATGCCCTGACCCGCGCCCAGTGTTTACAGGCCCTGGTCAACGAACGAAGAATTTACGGGAGATGAGCTTGGCCGTGGTCCGCACAGCTTGTACAACGCCCGCACAACCTCGGTACTCGCCCGCACCTCGGCCCGGTGGCCCAACCACCATTTCGCTGCCCTTTGTTGTGCGTACTTCTTACTCACCCCGGCTCATGGGCGGTGGTGCGGTGCAGTCCCTTTCGAGCGAAACGCTTTCCATTCCCGGTGGCGCTCTATTGGACGCGCCGATGGCAGACGAGGGCTGCCATTGGCCCGCGACCCGCATAAAATGGCCGAGGCCGGGCTCGAGTTGGTCATTCGATCGCAACAGCAGCAAGCAGCAAGCAAGCAACAGCAGCTTAAGGCAAGCAGGCAACAGTCAACACTCAACCACTGCTCCCACTCTCTCGCCTCTGAGCGCATCGAAAATGGCTTCAACCAAGTTCTTCCTCTTCCTGGCCGCCGCCGTCGTGGCGGTCATCGCCAGCGCGACGGCCCAAGGCGGACCGTGCCCGGGCGGCTTCTGGCCCGACGGCAGCGGCTGCTGTCCGTTGATCATCAAGGGCAGCCCCTTCTACCGCGACCAGAACAACCAGTGCTACCCCAGGCAGATCGGCTCCAGCATCTTCTACGCCGACTCCAACGGGTAACCAACCACCACTCACTCCTTCGCTTCTTGTTGTGTGGTGGTGCGGTGACGGTGGCGATGACGGTGGCGATGGTGATGAAGGCGCTGACATGAAAAACGTTCAATGTACGACGCCAGGTGCTACCCCGACGCGAATGGCAGGTATGTGTCGGCGGGCGAGTCGTGCCCGAGTGACCAGAAGTGCCAGTCGATGTGCGTGAAGCCCGGCGGCAGCTCCTCGACCACGACCAAGTCGCGCACCACGACCCACAAGCAGAGCACGACCACCCAGGAGCGGACCACCACGCCCAGGCGCACCACCACCAGGCAACAGACCACCACGCCGCAGGAGACCACCACCACTCAGCAGCAGACCACCACTCAGCAGCAGACGACGACCCAGCAGCAGACCACTACTCAGCAGCAGACCACCACGCAGCAGCAGACGACCACCCCTCGTGAGACCACCACGACCAAGGAGGTGACGACGACCAAGCAGCAGACCACGACTCCTCGTGAGACCACCACGACTAAGCAGCAGACCACCACTCCTCGCGAGACGACTACTACCCAGCAGGAGACCACCACGACCAAGCAGCAGACCACCACCCCTCGTGAGACCACGACGACCAAGCAGCAGACCACGACTCCTCGCGAGACCACCACTACCCAGCAGGAGACCACCACGACTAAGCAGCAGACCACGACTCCTCGCGAGACCACCACGACCACCGAGGAGTGCCCCAAGGAGACCACCACTACCAAGAGGCACACCACGACTCCTCGTGAGACCACGACAACCAAGCAGCAGACCACGACCCAGCAGGAGACCACGACGACCAAGCAGCAGACCACGACCCCGAGGGAGACCACCACGACCCAGCAGGAGACCACCACGACCAAGCAGCAGACCACTCCCCGCGAGACCACCACGACCAAGGAGATGACCACCACTCCTCGCGAGACGACCACCACCAAGCAGGAGACCACGACTACCAAGCAGCAGACCACCACTCCTCAGGAGACCACCACTACCAAGCAGCAGACCACCACTCCTCGTGAGACCACCACGACCCAGCAGGAGACCACCACGACCAAGCAGCAGACCACCACCCCTCGGGAGACCACCACGACCCAGCAGGAGACCACCACGACCAAGAAGCAGACCACCACCCCGAGGGAGACCACCACGACCAAGCAGCAGACCACGACCCAGAAGCACGCCCAGTGCCCCGGCGACAAGAAGAAGGACCGCAACGGGTGCTGCCCGCGTCTGATCAACGGCAAGTGGTACTACCGCGACGGCCGCGGCTGCTACCCGACCCAGACCCCCAAGGGCGTGTTCTACGCCGACGGCAATGGGTGCTACCCCAACGACCACGGCGTCTACCTGAAGGCCGGCCAGAGCTGCCCCCACGAGCGCAAGTGCATGGCCGAGTGCGACTGCGGCTACAGCTCGAGCTACGACGAGAGGGACTACCACGATAACGTGGAGTTCGAGTACGCCGAGGAGATGGAGATGGAGGAGGAGTACTAAGCAGTACTCCCCCCCCCACACTCCCGAACCCAGCAGCAATCAGTTGCACCATCGGGCGAGAGCGGAAAGATAGCGAAGTGCTACAGCTGCGTGCCAGGCGATCGACATACTACTTCAACCACAGCACTTCGCATCACTTCGCCCTCCCCTTCAACCCTCCCAACCCTCTTCAATTTGTTGTTATCTTAACTTTTTCTCCCACATAAGCATAAAAATTTACATTCTCCTGATTGAGCCTTGAGAGTCGCCACCAATGAAAGGAAAGTTGTCCATTTTAGGTTCACATTGCGGACCACTCGTATAGCCAAACATTTAGTTAAAATAACATCTCATTGATATATGCTCCGCGTGTATGTGGTACACCCTTCTCGGGGAATGGATGGCCTAGTCGGCGTGCTGGACGGGCATGGGCAGGCCGGCATTGTAGGCCTCGTTGAGGGTCTCCACCTCGAGGCGCTTCGAGACGTAGAGCATGCAGTAGTTGCCGTAGAGCACGGAACCCACGTAGGACGGGAGGCCGTTGGCCACGGCGTTGGCGGCGGCGGCAGCCAGCACCACGGACTCGCGGCTCGGGTCGAGCACGTCCTGGCCGGCCTGGTACTTGATGAAGCCGGCCTGCACCGCGAACGAGAGGCGCGTGGCGTAGAGCTGCATGATGAGATCGTCGAGCTGGTTGATCGGGGTGCGCACGCAATCGAGCGTGGTGCAGGTGGAGGCCTCGGTCAGGTTGCCCAGCTGCTCGAGGGACTTGATGTACTTGACGTTGGCGGCCACGGCGGCCAGCGACGACTGGACGGCGGCGATCTGGGCAGTGAGGTTGGCCTGGAGGGCGGCCACCTGGTCCTTGAGCTGGCCGTAGTTGGCCGGCAGGGCGTTGGCCAGCTGCTGGGCAAAGTCGTCCTGCGCAGCGGCCGGCGCGCTGACGAAGAAGAAGAGTACGGCCAGGGTGGCGAGCGCGGCGAGGAGTGCGGAGCGCATGGTGGTTCGGCGCTGGATGTTGTGGTGTTGCTTGAGGTGGTGTTTGGTGTGAATGAATGAGGCAGAATGTGGAGGTTGCAGGTTTTTATGGGCAGGACAATGTGGTTGTCGAGCGCACCAAGGCCCGCAACTTCGTCGAACACTGAAACGGTGGCGGCGTGCAACCGAAATGCGATTGGTCTGACTACCACGCACTTCCCTATTGGCGCGAACTTATAATTGGCCGGCTAATTTCCGCCACGTAACTCACTGCCCCGCGCAACATGTGCGCCTAGGCTGGCCGATGTGTAGAGTTGACATGCAGCTAGCTTCACTCCGCTGTTGAACCTTTTCCACAGTTTCCACCTCTAAGAATTACACCTGATTCGGCACTTGGGCTCTAGAAGTACAACCCCACGGTAGGCCGCAGAGTGGTGAAACTTGAACCTGCTCCACACCTCAGCTAAGACATACAGAGCATTCGCATTTTAGTTTGAATCAAAAAATAAAACTAAAATGCGCATGCTGGTGAGTCAAGACGCCAAAGGGACCTGCTGAGTCGGCGACTCTGGCGCAGGCCCAAGGAGGAGTTGAGCCACGCTGGAACTCCAGGCTCCCCCTGTCCACCGCCCATAGGTCACGAGCCATTCCTCCAGGGCGCTTGACGAGCAGTTGCCAACACGTTGGCCTGGTGTGTGCTGATTGGCCCGTGCTGCCTACAAAAGGCAAGGACAGCCAACCTTGTCAATCACTTCATCCGCTCTGCTCTGCTCTGCTCTGCTACTCTCTCCATCTCAACACCAACAGCTCAGACGACCAAGCCAAGGAGCAAGGACCACCTCAAGGATGACTTCACCCGCATTCAAGCTGCTGCTCTTCGTGGCTCTGGGCCTGGCCCTGTTCGCCGTCGCGGCTCTGGCTGACGACGACTACGACTACGACCACTGCTACGAGGACTACCCCGAGCGCAACAAGAACCTCAACGGCCCGTGCAAGGGCGGCTACTGGCCCGACGGCAAGGGCTGCTGCCCCGAGATCTTCAAGGGCAAGGCCTACTACCGCGACTACAACAAGTGCTACCCGCGCGACCTGGACTGCGGCGTCTTCTACTCTGACGAAGATGGGTACGCGTTACAACCAAAAAGCGAGCGTTTTGGTTGGCTGGTTGTTTAGGCGGGTGGTGCTGATTGGTTGGGTGGTGGTCGCATGCAGATGTTATCCCGATGAGAAGGGCGAGTATCTGGAGGCTGGCGAGTGGTGCCCCAAGGACCGCAAGTGCCACGAGCGTTGCATTCGCCCCGAGCACCACAGGTCGACCACGACCGAGGAGTGCCCTAAGGAGACCACCACGACCAAGAAGCACACCACCACCACCGAGGAGCGCACCACCACCCCCAAGCGCACGACCACGACTGAGGAGTGCCCCAAGGAGACTACCACGACCAAGAAGCACTACACCACGTCGACCACGGAGGAGTGCCCCCAAGGAGACCACCACGAAGAAGCACACCACCACGGAGGAGTGCCCCAAGGAGACCACCACGACCAAGAAGCACTACACCACGTCGACCACCGAGGAGTGCCCCAAGGAGACCACCACCACGAAGAAGCACACGACCACCACGGAGGAATGCCCCAAGGAGACTACGACGACCAAGAAGCACTACACCACGTCGACGACGGAGGAGTGCCCGAAGGAGACCACCACGACCAAGAAGTACACCACCACGACCGAGGAGTGCCCCAAGGAGACTACCACGACCAAGAAGCAC